GAAAGCTCATCGATCATGATCATGACAGAGAATAACTTCTCGAGTAGGAAGTTGATGTCTTGACGACATGTTCATATCAAGATTTAGTGATCTTGATTGTTTACCCAAAACATACTCATTCCATCCATCATGGGTATGAATCATTCATCATCACCATGACCCTCAACAGTCTGTATATATACAACCTCTATCCAAAACGAGGCATTCGCGATCCAAGTACATCTATCTTGACATCCACATCTCTCCTTGGTTTTGAGAGCACTTGGGTCATCGCCATCCAGATCACCAATTTCCATCAATCGTCACAGTCCAAAGTCCAAGGATGAACGACCCAGACAGAAAAAGCAAAGTTGAACAACTTCCGTCTCACAGCAACGCCTGTCAGTCGCCACAGAAACAACTGCCAAAGAGAGTGACGATGACCCCAACACCCAGTAAACATCTCAAGGCCAGTGCCTGCGGCATCGTCATCTCAACGTCATTCCCTTTTGTTGGAATACGGTCCGAGAGCTTTTGGTACTGTACGTTCGAGAGTCCACCAATTCGATCCGATGGATGCCCTTGAGATTCTCATCCAAGTCAAACGAGTCTGGAATCCGATTTCTAATGGAAACCACTTCTTATGCAACTTTTCTGCACCGAAACTCTGCTCTTTCTGCTGACTTGGATTTCCTGCATATCCAACTGGCAACATGACAGTGACCGATTCCGATGTCCACCTGTCAATCAGCCGCTTCCGCTGCCGTGAGCATACCAAGTCCGGAGACATGCCCGGCAACCAAGAGTGAGAAGAAACTTGAAGACAACGACAGTGGTTGACGATCTACTGCCAAGTTCACTCGGATAGGTAAACACAGTACCCCTCTTTTTCTTCTTAACCATATGGTTGGCCACCCATACACTACATCAGCACAATTCCATTCAGATCTCACTTCCCCTCGTTTCCTAAATCGATCGTAAGGCGACACACGCGAGGGGTAGATGTTCTGGAAGGTCCCGAAACGAACCAGCCAGAACACACAACTTGTCTATTCTGTTTGGGATCAAAGCAATCCGTGATAGTGATGGACTTTATCATCTCAATGAACTTTGGGAGCCTATACCCACTTGGACATACGAGCCAAGTACCTCCCAAACATCATACGCCGACATACGTGCATATACCCCAACACCACGATCAGAAATCCGAGCTCACCTTGGTCAAGCTTTGCTCTTCCTGCGGGACGTGCTTTCTCTCCAAAACGGCGGACGGCCCCGTCCCTTCTCTGCATGTGACGACATGATGAGGTACATCCATCTTTCGGTTTGGATCTTCAGTCGACTGATCTCACCAATTTGTCCTGCGGATCTTGGTTTGTAGTGTCAAGAGAGAATGGAAAACGGAGAACTCCTTGGCCTTGCGCTACCATAGCTGCCCATAGCCGTCACTGCATGTGCATAGGTACATACTCCTCTCAAGCACCCACGCGAGCATCTGTGATACGCAAAAGGTATAAACCACCGGCAACCCCGCCCTCTTCGTCCGCTTGTGTTCCTATGCTACTCCTCCTTTACATCTAACGATTCTTCACTCACCGTTGTTACTAGAACTTCATCTAAAGTGACAAGTCCACAACTATATACCACTCAGTCAAGTCCAAACAACCTCCTCGTAGAGTTAACCACAAACAACTCTTTCCCAACGCATAACAACGCCACCCCCCTCTTCCCCCACCCCTATTCTCATCCCTCCCACTCATCCTCCTCATCCACAATAACCATGGACGACACCGGCAGCAACCCCCCCATCGCCGGTCCCTTCCAGCCGGCCCATCCACCCACCCTCGACAACCCCATCACCGAGGCGCCGGCCCCGCACACCACCCCCGTCGCGCCCGGCACCGCCGGCAAGACGGGCCCTGATGCCGCTGCCCAAGGCATGGGCGGCGGAGCCAGGGGTAGTTTATCGAGCGAAAGCAGCAAGTTGATTGACGAGAGCACCAAGCTGTTTCCTAATGTCGCGGGGGCTGCTTCTGAAGCGTTCAGGAGTGAGCGGAGCGCGAGTACGTCTTCGACTACCAGTGTGACGGGGAGTGATCGGCCTATGGGGAGTGCGAGTACGGTTACGGAGGTTCCGTATGGTAGACGGGTATGTTCTTTTTTCTTTTTTTTCTTTTTTTCTTTTTCTTCTCTGTTGTTGTTTGGTGATGATTGAAAGGGGTTGTGGGTTGTGGGTTGTGGGTGGTAAAGAGATGGTGAACATATGCTAACAGCTCGGAAATAAAACAACACAGCCGTCTCACGGACATGGAGGACATCATGGACTCTTTGAGGGCTTGATTGACCAGAAGAGAAGGAACGATCCGGCTAGTGTTGCGAGACGCCAGAGTTTGAGTGAGCAGAGGCCGGTGCCGCAGGGGTTTATTGCCAAGATGTGGGATAAGTACGTTCACCCCCTAAAACTTTTCCGTTTGTTTACTTTGAGGCTGACTCTCCCGTGACTAGCTGGGTACGCGGTGCCCCCCCTGACATCTAAACAAAGTCACTTTTCTTCTTTCCCTCTCGTCAGCATTGTCTTTTTCGTTATCCAAACTGAAGAAGAATGTCAAGATGGGTGGAGATCCAAATTGTACGAACATATCATTGAAATATGGAACATTGCATGAGGGCAGGCGTGACGGAGGAGATGTAATGGGCATTAATGATTGATTGGGATCGCTTGAACGGGATCATTATGTGCGGTGGTTGTAACTGAAGGTTGTCCTTGCCCGTCTTTTTCCCATCTCTTTTGTCACTTGATTTGTCGCATTTTAGGAGTATGATGGTTGATTATCGGCCTGCCTCAATTATGGTCTTTTCTTTCGTGTGTGTTTATGACGATGTAACGAACTGATAGCATCAAATGAATGCTAAAAGATTGTGCATGGAATCATTTTATTAAGTCTCGTTTTATCTGCCGTGGCCACCATCGAACGAGTTCCTCCTACAGTAATCATGTACCAGATACGGCACTCCTCGCACCTTCCCCTCTAGTTCACTCATGAGTTGATAAAGATCCGAAAAAATCAAAAAAAGAAACAAGAAACATACAACACCAGGTTATTCGCCGGTCGTCACCGAGCCGACTACTGATCTGGCGGTCACCGGCTTATCTAGGGGAGAGCGGACGGGATCCCGAGTTTTATCCAGGTGCCTATGGTCGTATGTGATTTAGGCAACTGTCCAGGAGAATGTGGAAGGGGGAGTGGCATAGGTAGTTATAAGCCTTTGCTTGATCATAGGCATTCGGACGAGGTTCAAGAGAAGGCCTTTGGCTTGACACTCCAGCAATTGGAGCGAAATATCTCTGAGCCCACATCTCTAAAACTATGGATCCGGGATAAGGATAAGGTATTGGTACATTACATCTCTGCGCGAGAATACTATTCAGCTACGAACATTGGGGAGAGCTAGTTTTGAGAGCTTGCCGTCAGGTGTTATGGCTACCTCTACCTCCACCGTCAGATGCTGCGATAAAGATATGGCATAGAAGGACGAGAACTTTTTGCTACTCGACAGATGGACTGTCTTGATTTGTCTAGGCAAAGGGTGGAGGAATGAAGTCGATTCGGCACTGGTGTTTCACCACCAAACCACCAAGATCGAGGACTTCACGAGGTCATCGGCACAGCCAGGACACTCGGTCGCTGCTGAGAGCATTCCAACTCTGAACAATTCAATAAGTCCTCATTACATTGTGAGAGCTTTTTACCACTGGAAAAACACCAAGGTGCGAAAGTCGCATTGAGCCTTCCCTCACTCATCGTCGGAGATATGTACCGGAAGTTGCCGAAGGTAGAGGCCTAAGACATGGCCGTCACCCTCATTCCTACAACCACTACCCAACACCTACATATTTGACGGAACTCACAGGAACGCATGCCTTTTCCCACCATCTACCATGTTCATCGCAATCTCCCACCATGAGGCCTGGGATTCCAGTTGTCGTGTCGTGGCATAGCAGCGACACCCAGCAGCGGCCGGGAAGTTGGCATCCGTGTCAACAACATAGCGATGATATGAAGCAGCAACAGCAGCGACAACAACAATAACAACATGGAGAAACTCACCTATAAGTATCCCCAGATCTGACCAGACTGAGAACTAATTCCTTCCTTCCTCACCAGCCTTCATCTCCTCCACCAGTCTACATTATCAGGACTTCAGTCTCTCTCTCTTTCCAAAGAAACCACCAAAGCCAAACTAAACCAATCCTTACCAAATACCAACATCACACTCACTTCACTTCACTTCACTTCACTCCTTTTTTTTCAAAATGAAGTCCTTCGCCCTCACCACCGCTCTCTCCCTCGCCATGGCCGGCTCCACCCTCGCCGTGCCCATGATGCAACAAGGCCACGCCATCGCGCACATCAACGCCGAGGCCCTCAAGAACAACCTCGCCATGGCCAAGGCCAACACCAACATGAACACCAAGCGCCAAACCACCCCCGCCACCTCGCCCGCCGCCTCCGTCCCCGCCGGCACCGTCCCCTCCGTCGCGCTCACCGACCTCGACCGCGTCGTCTCCAGCGTCGGCGTCATCGTCAAGAACGCTCAGGACGACTTCCAGAAGATCGACATCAAGGACCCCCAGGGCATTACGGGCATCCTCTCCCAGCTGCTCGGCAACGTCACGCAGACGGTGCAGCAGGGCACTCGCCGCATCAAGGCCAACCAAAAGGCCGCCATCCTGCCCGTTGGCGCTGGCTGGGGCGTCGCTGGCGGTGCGTACCCTCTTGGTGTGCTTGGTGGCCATCTCGGAGGCCTCGGCGGTCTCGGTGGTCTCCTGGGCGTCACCGACGGTCTTGCTGGTTTGACTGGTGTCACTGGCTTGTTGAGCAGCTTGCTTAACACCGTTACCGGTCTGCTTGGTAACCTCTTGCAGCTCGGTGGTGGTGATGCCACCAGTGGCAGTGGCTTGGACGCCAACACCCTGGCCAGCTTGGCTAACCTCCAGGCCCTCCTCTCGCTTAGCGGCGGCCTGACTGGTGGTGTGCCCCTTGGTACTCTGCCGCTTGGCGACTTGAGCAACCTCGCTGGTATCTTGAGCCCGGAGCTCCTCAACCAGTTGCTTAGTGGTACTGCTACTGGCAGCCCGCTGAGCGTCATCGAGTCGTTGTTGGAGGCTGTCCAGGAGCTGCTTAGCTCTGTCCTCTCCGGTTCTGTTGGTGTGACTGCTGCCATCACTGGCGATCTCGGTGCTGATGCTTCTACTTCCACCTCTGCTTAAAGCAAGGGTTTGAAATCTGGAGCTAGCGGGTAGTTCTTAGGACTTTTGTTGCTTCCCGGCTGGAGATGTTGGGTCGCATAGGAGGAGAAAAATGCTTTTGTCACTATTTCCTTTCAACTAATCCGGCAATAAGTTTTTTTTTTTTTTGGTGGATGCTTATGTGGAGGAGATGACAGTCGGTATAAAAGTGTCATTTATCTGGAGCGGGAGAACTGGCGAAAGAGGAAAGTGTAATGAATGTTTGAGAGTGTGCGAGTTAGTTTTGCTTTGAACAGAAAATACCAGGGGTTTTGCTCTTGCCTTTTTTGACCCATCCTCACGATATGCTGTAATGTGGTCTCCTTGACTGAGGCTTCTTAGCCCAAAGAATGAACCATCTGATGTATCAGATCAATATCTGCCTCCAGTGTGGATATATAATCACCTATACCACTTCCCCTACAACATCCAACCAGGCCGATACTGCTCAAAAACATACGACCATAGGTACCAGGGCAAAAACTCGAGATCCCGTCCGCTCTCCCCTAGATAAGCCGGTGACCGCCAGCCTAGTAATCGGATTGGTGACGACCGGTGAATAAGCTGGTGTTGTATGTCTTTTTTTTTCTTTCTTCTTCTTTCTCTGTCTCTCTCTCTCTCTCTCTCTTTCTTTCGATCTTGCCACTTGCGGTTGGCTTTCTGTTTGGGAAGGAAGTTGCGTTGGGAATAACGAACTAAAATGGAAAGAACTCTTCAACTTACTCAAAGGAACCATGCAGTGAGCATCGATTGTATCATGTCGCATTGAGACTTGGAAATTCACCGGTGTTTTTGAGAGATCAACGAGACGGACTAAGCGAGGCAGCTCCACGGAAGTTCTATCCTTCAAAGTGGAAAGTATAACGAGATATGATGGGCCATCATCAAGTGGCTTACTTCCCATTTCCTAGCCAGCAAAGCGCTATTCCCTTCAGGAGTCATAACTTTCTGCCCAAGACAGAGTAGCCGAGAGGGTATCGCTGATTCAATTGCTTACTCTTCCTTGTCGTATTTTCTTCAAAATTTCGGGATATAGCGGGGATGGGCCCTGATATTCCAAGAAGTCTTTACGTACTGACACTGCAGCTTCAATCTGTCTGTGTGCCATTCAACAATTCGTGTTCCGTGAGTGGGCGGCGAAACATACAAGACAGTCACTTCACCAGGTCATACCGACGACAATTTCCTAAATCTGTGATCCTGATCATCAGACGTAAAACACACCACGAAGAAAGACTCACCTGCACGGGAGTTCGGTTACCAACGCTAAAGTGGCCGGCTCGTCCTTGAGTGTACCTGCAGAAGCAGGTGGTCATTCGATGAAAACCTTAGAAGCAGACGCAACCCTGTCAGCAGTTCCAATAACCAACCGGGGTGTGCACACGTCTGTGGGACGTCGGGAAGACGGGCGGGTAGCTGCATATGTTTGACGATGAGACTAGTGAGCCAGTGGTGAGTTGCCGGATGCAATGACAAACAAAGGATAGTGGGACGAGTAGACAGAAAGGGAGCCACAAGTTGAGATGTTGAGAGCAGAGCACACTGGGGAGGTGAGTGTTCAGAGGATAAGAAGTAAACAGCGTCATTATAAGGCTAGTGCAAGAACGACAAATGAATGTGATAATGACCGATGGCCAAACCATGTTCGGGGAAGATTCCCCTTTTCAATCAGTGACACCAAAACACGGGTAGAGTAAAACTGCAAATTACCGTTTTTGTTTCAAAGTCGCTGTATTTCCCAGGTTCACATACTCTCTCCCGAAACCAAAGAAGACGAACTATCCGCTTAACGCCACGTTCCCAGCACCCGGTATTTTATAAAATCGATATAAGAGGCTCGAGACTAAAAACTAAAAGACGAGAATTCCGCGGTGATTTCTATTGGCTGAATTAGGCTATCATCCGGCATCGTTCCTACGAACGGTGCTTTTCGCTTTCTGTTGAAGTGAGAATATCTGATTAGTGATTGGGTTGCTGAGAGTCACGGCCGTTGTTCTGAAGCTCACCCAGACGCTGGTAGAGTAGGTAGAGCGCCATGCGGTTGCACTCCTCTGTACCGGTGATGGTGACAAGTCGCTCATTGCTGTTGTCCTGCGGTTCATTAATCTTGATCACACTGCCAGAGATCTGCCTGATTTCGTTGATCTTCTGTCCACCCTTGCCAATGATGGCGCCGACCATATCGTTGGGGATGTAGATCTGCTGGGTGAGGGCAGCGCCGGCAACAGGGGCGCCATGAGGGCCGGCAGCATGGGGAGCCGGGCCGGCGTGGCCGACATGGGGCGCAACGTGGGGGGCAGCGGCACCGTAACCACCGGCGGCGTGGGCACCGTAGTGCATCGGGACGGCAGGGTTGGGCTGGGCCGGATGAGGTGCACCATATGGCGCAGGGTACTGGCTGGGCGGCATGCCGTGGTGAGACCTGGGGTCGGGGCCACGGTTGCGCTGGTAGTAATCGCGGTTGCCAAAGTTGCCGCCAGCGGGCTGAGGAACGTAGGGGACGACCTGCAGGCCGCCGGGAATAGAAGCAGCGGGGCCTCCGCTGCGGGTGGCATACGCTGAGGCGGCGGGACCACCGAAACGCTCGTTGAGCTGCTCGAGAAGAGTGCTACCAACGTAGTAAGTAGCAATGTGAACAGCATCGGCCACGCCCATGACAACCAACGACCGTTCCGTGGAAAGGGGCAGGCACGAGTCGGAAGCATTGAGACGGGCTCCGGAAGCCTCCTGAATCTCCTTGATGCGCGCACCGCCCTTGCCAATAATAGAGCCGATCAAGACGTGGGGAATCAAGAGACGCAGGGGATAGGTCTTGGAGTGGGTGTTGGAAGGCTCAGCAAGAGGCTCATTGTTCAGCGTACGGATAATAAGACCGAATGCCTTTGAAACTGTTAGCCAGTGAACTGCTGAGGGAAACATAGGGACGACATACCTTTGCGACCGCATCAACGACACCGCTAACAGTGAGAATACGTTCAACGGCGCCCTTCTGGTAATCACTGACGGTGCACTTGGCGTTGGACATTTCTCTGATCTTGGAAACATTCTCGCCGCCCTTTCCAATGATGGTGGCGGCCTCCGGGCTGGAAATAACGGATCTCACATGGATCCAAGCAGTCTCATCGTGAGGTTGAGCAGAGACAGGGGGCTGAGCGCGGCTGCGAGCACCGTGGTCCTTGGTTGCCTTGCTCTGGGGAGCATCGGGGACAACTGTGTCACCCTGGACATCCTGACCCTCCGACTTGTCTCCCTTCACCTTGGTGCCGTTGGACTCGGGGGCAGGAGTGGGGGTGGCGGAGCCGGCAGTCTCGTCGGCATTGTGGCTGTCTTCGGGAGCGGGAGCCTCAACCTCCTCTTGGGCGTCCTTGACAACCTTGTCGAGAGCGAGCCTCTTGGCCTCGGGCTGGTCGTTGCGAGAGGGCGAAGAGGACTCGTCCAGGGGCCGCTTAGCGGACTGGGTGGGCTGTGGCGAGGCGGACATGGTTGTTGCGAGCGAGCGAGCTAAAAGTCAGGTAATAATCACGTCTCGATGGAGAAGTCGTGGTCGTGCGAGATGAATATTCTTCTTGAATTATCGAACTTGTTTTATCTACACCTTGGGGGTTTTCGAAGGAAAACGTGCTGGTGTAGTGTAGTGGAGGTGCGGTTGAAGGGGTCGGGACTGCGCTCTCAGGGTGTTGGAGTGGTGGTTGCTCGGGAAGGGCCGATCAAAGAGACGATCGACGGGACGGAGACCGGTGCTGGTGCTGGTGCGCGAAGTAGTATGGGAGGAAGGAGGCCTATCGCTGGATTGCTTGATCTTGCAGTGTTGGTGAAGCCTTGTCCGGGGAGTTGGTGGTGGTGATGTTATGCGGCAAGGGCGAAGCGCAAAGAGTAGGCAGGTAGTAGAGGTGGTTGAGCAAGGAAGAAGGTGAGTGAGGTACGTAGTAGAGTAGTAGAGTAGGTGGTGGTAGTGGTGGTGGTAGAGTAGACGGAGGTGATGACGGATTGCTCTTTTGTTTGGTACGGAAGAAGAGAGTAGAAGCACTTCTGGTATCTCAAACCTTCTTTCGCTTGTCAAGCACTGGAGACGACGCACGCCAGTCTTTTTCTGCTAGCCCAGGGTATCCGAGATCCGGCTGTAGCTACCGATAGCAGATCGTGGATTTGACCGGGGGACACACTTTGGAGCGTCGATCCGGGTGTGTGTAGATGGAGGAGGAGTGCGGTGGGCGGTCGACTTCTTTTTCGACGACGTGGTGATGGCGCGTGTCGGAGGTCGTGGCAAAGGAGAAACCAACAAGCCTGCAGAATCTTCAGAAGAAAAAGAGAAAAAAAAGAACAAAAAAAACAAGTGATGGGATGGCTCAAGTCAGCGAGATGACGAGAGGAGGAGATGACGACGACGAGGGGTGTGGTCGAGAAGGAAAGGGTTGCCAGGTGGTGAGTGGCCGTTGGGGGGAGAAAGTGGAAGTGAAGTGGAAGTGGAAGTGGAATGTCTCGCGAGAGTGAGGTTTGGTTTGGAATTGTGGAGTGGAAGGGAGATGGCTTGATGAAACCTGAGGGTCCCGCCTGGGTGAGCAGGATCAGCAACCGGCCGTAGCCTCAACCGACGCGACCTGCCACGGGCCACAGGCCAACTCAACAGCCTCAGGTGACGGCCCGGTATACGCCTGACAGCTGGACGCTTGCTTGCAGACAGCTGTTTAAGCTCCGCTTGCCACCTGCACAGCTGCTCTGCCGGTCTTGGGGAGAAGCTAGAGCTGGAAAGACGGGAGTTGGTGCATGGGTTTCCTGGACGGCGCCGCAGCCCAGCCTGCAACCCCAGCTCCCTCCCTCCTTCGTTGCCCAACGCCCAGTTGCCAAGGCATCCGAGCTCTGTGGGTCCAGGCCACACGAGCGAGCGAGAGAAGCTGCGATCCGATTTCAGCACTTCCACTTCCTGCTTCAGTTCACAGTTCTTCAACCACTGCACCACCAAGTTCACTGCACGCATTCAATGCTTGCTGCCTGCAACTGAACACCGGCATTGCTGCTGTAATACAGTAACACGGTGTTACGGCGTATTTAACAATACCAACGAGACCCATCCGACGAGAGAAACAACCAGTGAACCATCACGTTGTTGTCGTGGTTGTTGTTATTTTAGTGGTTTCATCCCAGTCAGGTTCATTGCCTTGAACGCCGACGACGAAAACAAACGGGCGCGTATTCACTCAGGCTTCGGTGAGAGCTTCGTGGTTGGCTGTTGACTAAGCTCCTCCATCGGAAACCAATTCGTATTACGGGAAGTCGTGTTTTGAGCTTCTCCATCCCGGCTGCTGGACATATCCGGGTGGAAACACACACTTTTCATGAACGTGGCACTACTAGTTGCCAAATTCTCGTCCCGGACGTTGTACACCAATAAACACCGATACCTGCTTGCAAGTGCAACACTCTCTCACTCTCACTTCTCACTACTCCACGCTGTGATACCGTGTCCCGCCTAGGTTTTCCTCACTTGCCACCCCCTGAGCCAACTAGACCAACAAGGGCTTCGGAGAGCCTGCCATGTCAACAACCAACAACACCAACACCATGGAAGGCATCATCCAAGGATCCACTACCACAGGCTCAAGCAACGGCAGCGGTGGTCGCGTCAAGGATCCTGTGCATGAAGCGAACCTAGAGCGAACAATTCGCGAACTCAAGCGAATGACGGCAGAAGCCGAGGCGACTTTGAACGAGGTGAGCCGAGCCCCATGTCATGTCAACAAACCCCCTTTTCACTCTCTAATAACACATTCACAGCTAAAACAAAACATTGCCCAAAATGGACCACCACCACCCCTCAACCCTCTCTCCTCCATGCACCTCTTAACCCGCGCCTACACCTCCCTCGCCGAGTCGGACCCAACTCCCCTCCTCCCCTTCCCAGACTCCGTCCTCCCTGCCCTGCTCGCCATCCGCAAAACCAGTCAAACCATCACCCAAACCAACTCTTACCTCTCCTCTTCCTCCACCCTCCTCGACCGGCAAAAGCACCATCTCGAAGACTTGAAAACCGAAGTCCGCGAGCAGAAGGAGCTCCAAGAAGCTCTTCAGGCTCGCGTCGAATTGCTCAGGAAAGGGATGGAAGCAAAGAAGGAGAGGACGCCCGAGGAGCTAGCAAAAGAGGAACTGGAAAAGATGGAAGAAGAGCGGAACAGATACGACGAGGAGACCAAGAAGCTTATCAGAGAACTAAACTGGTTCATCGAGGAGTACCTTGGCCCGTTACTGGCAGCGGAGGAAATGGGCGGGCCGGTGGTAGGAGAGATGATGGACTTGGATGCCGAGGATCTGGAGGCGGGATTTAATGCGAGGGGCAAGTTGAAGAAGGCCAAGGCGAAGAAGACGGATGAAGAAGAAGAGGGGGATGGAAGGCAGAGGAGGATTGATGAGATTTGGGGTGCCCAAAAAGACCAGCAGGAGGGGAGACAGGGTACTGGCAAGAGAAAAAGGGAGAGGGATGAGGCGAGTGCGGCGGGAGCGGAGATGAGGAGTTTAATTGAGAAACTGCTGAATAAGAGCATGGATGCCGGAGGGGATAGTTCGGCGGCATATGTGAAGATCGAGAGGGAGACGGCGGCGGCGAGGTTTTTGGTCAGAAGCAAGGTGGCAGTTTTCCACCCGAGGGATGCTACGAGGTTGAGGTTGGTGGATTTTGGGAGGGAGTTGGATGATTAGGGCAGCCACGGTCATGGAAGTCTATCATCGTGGAATATCTAAGGTATCTGGCTCGAGTCGATCTTTTGAGGTTACAGACCTAGTCTTCCTTGGGCTTCAGCTTCATCACCCTCTTCCTTTCTGTTGCCTTTACCTCAAGCCATTCTCCCGGCAGGCAACGCACTGGCCAAGAGATTTTGGACCCCTGAAATCAATCAATTTACGCGTCCGTCCGACGCGTCACCCAACGCGCTTACATTCAGCTTTGGCTGCGCTTTTGCTTTGCTTTTGCGCCCGCAGTGTTGCCGTCTCCCCACTATTGAAACAGCTGCGTTTCCTCCTCCTCCTCCCTCGCGCAGCAGCAAATCAATGTTTGTTGCCCGCCGTCTTCTCCTCTCTCGTTCTTCTTCTTCTTCTCTCTCAATTGTTTCCCAAACCACCACCACATTCAAACACTTCTTCGCAACCATCACACCAATGACCACCGGCACCACCGAACCTACTGCTACCTCCTCCCCTCCCGCCAAGCGCATCAAGACCTCCGCTGATTCCTCCTCCCAAACCACCGCTACCGCCACTACCACCGCCGCCACCATGACTGCCGATACCCAGACTCCCGTTACCAAGGTCGACCAAGCTCCTCCTCTCCTCATCAAGAAGCTGTCCGACAAGGCCCGTCTGCCCACTCGCGGCTCCGCCTTCGCTGCTGGTTATGACATCTACGCTTCCAAGGAGACTACGATCCCTGCGCGCGGAAAGGGTCTGGTGGATACGGATATTTCCATGGCTGTTCCTGCTGGGACTTGTACGTTTTCTTTTAATATCCTCACTTTCCCCCTTCTCCTCTGTTTACTTTTTCTTTTATTCTTAATTTGCTTCGAGTGCACCTCCGGTGGCCACTCCGTGGAGGCCCTCCGGGGGCCCTCCGGGGGTGTCCTCGCTTCGCTCGCTTTCTATTCCTTCCCTTCCCGTCCCTTTCCTGCCCTTCCCTTCCCTTCCTTTTCCTTATACCTTCCCTTTCTTTACATTTCCTTCTTACCTTTCTACCCTCAGAATGTTCGCTGACAGAAAGCAACACAAAAAACCATAGACGGCCGCATCGCCCCCCGCTCCGGCCTAGCAGCCAAGAACTTCATCGACGTCGGCGCCGGCGTCATCGACGCCGACTACCGCGGCCAAGTCAAGGTTCTCCTGTTTAACCACTCGGACGTGGACTTTGCCGTCAACGAGGGCGATCGCGTCGCGCAGCTGGTTCTCGAACGCATCTATACCCCCGAGGTGGTCGAGGTCGAACAGCTGGAGGAGAGCGTCAGAGGCGCGGGCGGGTTCGGGAGTACGGGCGTTAGTTCTAGTGTTGGGGAGCAGGTGAAGAACTAAGAAAGAAAGAAAACTGGTTCCTGTTTTTTTTTTTTTTCGGTCGGAGGAAAAGAAAAGAAAAGAAAAGAAAGGGGTTAGGGGTATGAAGCGATATAGATGGACGGCGTTTCGGGAAATCTGGCAGAAACATTGAAAGGTATGACATGCATATGATACTACGGAGTGGTGGACATGGACACAAGTATCGGTGATCAATACCTTGTGTGAACGAGCAGGGAACGAACGAACGAACAGCTTGACGTGCAGCGGAGGTACTTTGTCAGGCAAGCTCTGGATTTAATGGTCCATCTTGGATCAAAACTCCATAACTCTTCTTCTAATCCAATTCGTGATGTACGAAGTATGTATAGTGTGGTATATACCTTGGTCAGGACATTCACCAACCAACTCCCTCCCCCAAAGCTCCCGCAATGCTATGCCCATGCTCTGATCTAGCTTCTATGGTAGAATAGAATAGAATAGCGCCTCGCTCACCAACAGCAGATCAACAATAACTCCCGCTATCCAATGCTGTTCCCGTCATCCCACACCCCTTCTATTCCTCGCTCTCTCTCTCGCAAAGATAATTGGATAACCAATCAGAACCAAAAAAAAGCTAAGAGCACTCTATCCTCCTAGCCCTAAACTCCACCTTGGGATGCCTCAAACTATCCAGATGTCTGACCAGCCTCAACTCGGCCGCCTTGCTCTTCATCAAATGTAACCTCTTCCTCGCCTGCACTTCTTCTTCCTTTTCCGCTTCCTCCACTTGTTTCCTCCTTCGTTCTGCTTCTTCTTTTATCCTCTCTTCCGTCTTTTCCCCATCTTCCACGCCATTGCTATTACCATTCGTCGTCGTCGTCTGTGTCGAATCCAACCTAGGTTTCTTATCCACATGTCCATCTTCAACCGACTCATGGCCATTCGCATGTCCACACCCATTAACACCATCTGTCTTCGCTTTTTCTCTCTGAAGCTGCTCATCCACAAACCCCTTAGCCCTCTGCACCCTTCCCTTCATCCCCTCCGCCGTCTTCGTCAACACCTCGTGCATACTCGCCAACACCTTCTCCGCGGCCTTGGCAAGCGGCAGGTCCAGCGCGTCCACTGAATCATCTGACAACCACGACTCCCGTTCCGTCAAGTCTCCTTCGGTGTTATACACCGCTTCTCGCATACGCACGAGCATCAAGGCGGAAAACATGTCGCCCGTGCCGGAAAAGTAGCAATCGATGGCGGGGAAACTAATCTGGAAGGCGCGCGGTCGGCGGGCAGAAGTCATTGTTGAGCCGACTACGCTGAGGGTTTTGGTGCGGGGCGGTTGTGATTGACCTTGGCCTTCTTCTTGGGGTGTTGGTGTGGGCGCCGAAGAGCCGGGTACAGAGTTGGGCATGGTGGAGGAGACGGTAGTAGCGCCGGGAAGGGAGACGGAAGTGATGATGATGTGCGGGATGGCGTAGCGCTCGTGGAGGACGGAGATGGCGCGGGTTAGGGAGGGCATGTCGATTATTTTGACTTCTGATAGGAGTCTGTTTGTTTGTTAGTTCGATCTAACAAGAAGAAAGTAAAGGGAAGGGAAGGGGAGGAAAAGAAAGGTACGCACTCAGCCTCGAATTGGTTCGGGAGTATCAGGTCTGCATACTGCACCAACCCTTTGTATACCGGCACTACATCCTGCGCGACGTACAGACTGCCGTTATCGCCCATCACGGGGTCCAGCACCCAAAAGAAACTTCCAGGCTTCCCGCGGGCTTGAGCCTTTTCCTTAAGTTCCTTCGCTATCTCCCCCACGGCTTCCAGCGCTGGAGCACCGGGGACGTACCCGGACAGCATCATGTCAAAGTCATCGAGGTAGGACTGTTTGAGTCCGCGGTACAGGTCGGTGATTTCCGAAGCGGAAACGCGCGTGCCGGTGAATTGGCGGTAGCCCGTGTGGTTGCTGAACTGCACCGTGTTGAGGGCGGCGACGTCGCAGCCGAGGGATTGCATGGAGAAGACGGCGATTTTGTTGCCTACGTAGCTGAGGGTAGAGACATTGATGTTAGCCAATGTTTTTCTCTTCTTCTTTTCATTCTGTTCGCTCTCGTCTCGTCTCGTCTTGTCTGGTTCGGACTCGGCTGGTCTAGTCGTCATCGAGGGAGGCCGGCGCAAAGCTTGTAGGTGAATCGGAACTTACCCGGAGACAACCTAAACACCCTCAGTCAGCAATTGATTCAACCTGAAGTCAATTGAAAAGGAGAAGTAGACTTACATGGCTGGCGACCGCCAACACGCGGGTGTCAGGGACTGGAGGCTCTCCGTCGCTCATGGTGACCTTGGTAGAGTACTTTGTATGCGATTCGGCTTCTGGTTGTTGTAAAGGAAATATCGGACTCGAGAAGTGTTATAGAGAGGTCCTTCGTTCGAATTGGTTATGTTCGGGAGATGTACTGCGGCGTAGAGTGGCGGCGCAAAGGATCTCGATCGTTGGTAGAGAGAGGTACGTAAGCCGAGTAAGCCGAGCTGACGATTCAACGAACGGTCTGTCAATTGGTGGTATAGATCGTCTCTATAAAGAATAGTCTGCCGCTTAAAGTCTCGACGATATGTTGAGAACTGGTGCCAAAGTTAAAAGATGTAGAGAATGTTTGTTGTTGTCAAGAGGACCGAGATCTGTCTCGAACTCGCAGAAGAAGTCCGAGGAAGGACTGGATGATCACCGGGTCAAGAAAAGATGGAGGAAAGATTCCGGAAAAGAACTAAGCAACACTATGACACAACAAATGATTCTGACCCTAGACCTAGTCAGTCAGTCAGTCAGCGGTGAAAGAAGAAGACCGTATATAGCCGAAAGATCTGTTCAATTGCAAATAGTATCATCAAACAAATAGACTGCGATATCGCCCTCTTGTGCCACCCATTTGCCCACATCTTGATTCGAGTCCCTAACGGTCATGGCACAGGGCCGGCCAGTCAATGACTCTTTTTTTCCAGGAACCACCCATGCCCCGCCAAAAAGTTTCCTGCAGGGCGGGTGTTAGGGGCAACTTGAATGCGGAGTCCATTTAGCTGTTGGGCGCGCCCTGGGCTGTTGTAGGCGGGAGGGGACGTCACGCAGGTGGTGGGTAGGTAAGTTACATACATTGAACGAACAATGCGGGGAAGTTGGTGAACACCAGGACCTTCATCGGACGAGAAAAAAAACAGTCGGGTGGAAGATTTCTGGAAAACACGCCGACTGACGGGAAGTGGTGATGTCAGAAGGGTACTTGTGATTTAACATACTTCCGAGATACCTACATTCAACGCCAAGCTGAACTCCCGAGAAGCGATGATTACCGTAGTGATACAGGGCGGACAGTTTGCCGATATCAATGTTAGAAACCATCAGACAAAAAAAAAGGAAACGACAACAGCATCGGGCTCCTTGGTGAAGGTCTTGTGTTGGAGGCCATCGCAATATTCATTGACACCTCGTCGTCTCCCCTAAGCATTCATCTTCGCAGCAGAAAGAAAGAACAAAACGCCCTCTAAAACATTTGTGTGTACTAGTGCCAGACTCTTTCAAAAACACAGATTTCTTTTTCTTCATATCCCTTTTCTTCTCCTCATCACTGCATCAATCCTTATCTTCTACATGACTGCATTTCTCCTCCTCCCCATGATTTTATAACAACTCGAGGTATACATGAAGGCATAGTTTCGTGGTGTTGTCGTTCGTAACAAAGATGTGGTTCGGTTGTTGGAGGTAAATGGGGCGTTTACTCCTCGTCGCCAATCTGTAAATCACAACCAGTTAGCATCAGACCTAACACCGGAAAATGACAAACAAAGACATACCTTGGGCGCAAGATAGAACCTCAAATAGCTGCTAGCCGAAATGTTGTACTCGACCAAAAGCGGCACCTCGTTGGAAAGGCAGATCTTGACCGTGCTCGACAGCGCGCTCGCCTTGCAAAAGTTGACCAGGTACTTAAGCGAGAAAGTAAGGGAAACCGGCTCGCTCAACTCAATCTCGATATTCTCGCTGGGTTTGTCGACATTGGTGTGTTGACGGAGGGTAATGCTGCCGTTGCCAATGTCGCCCTGGCAGCTGAACTTGACGCCGTCCTTGCTCGCCTCAATGTTGACGCTCTCGCTCATGGCCATGAGGTCGGTGGTGATGCGCTTGAACTCAGAAGACGGCATGCTGATGGTGGCCGCGTACTCGGTATCCGGAATGCCCAGGTGCTCCTGGTCAATGTCCATGAGCTTGAGGTCGTACTCGGAGATACGGTCGTTTTCGGAAGATTCGAAGACGAGGTTGAGCACGTCGGGCGCGTCCTCGGCCTTGAGCGTCAGGATGTCCTCGTTTTGGGCGGCGCGGAGCACCTTGGTCAGCGACGTCAGGTTGACGCCGAGCGCAATGTTGCGGTCGCACCGGAAGGGCGAGAAGGTCTCCGTCTTGAGCATCATGGACACAAGCGCGACGTGCGAGTTGTCCATGGCTTGCAGGGCGATGCCCGAGTCGTTGCAGTCGAAGTTGCAGTCCTGCACGAGGTCCTTGATGGCGTCGACGACCTGGACATCACCGTCATCATCATGACAGAGTTAGTGGGCGTCTTCTAGCTGGGAAAAGAAACAGACAGCTCTTGACAGAAAGAGGACATGACATACCTTCTTCAGGATCGACGCCTGCTCCAACCGTGCTTCAAGCATTTCTGTTGTTGTGGTAGTCCTCCAGTCAGCAACCCATCACTTCTGTTCTCCAGCTTTTCTTCCTAGAGCCAGGTCAAGCAGGCAGCAGGCAGCTTCACGCTCAGACAGAGACGACATACTGATGGATGTGAATTACCGAACTCGACGGGGAAAAAAAAGACAAAGAGGTAAGAAAATATGCGCGCGCTGGGTATCACTTTCGGGAGAGAGAGGCGCTCGTGGTTTGACGAAGAAAGAAGAGAGAAGAAAAGATTTGGATTTGGGAAGAGTTATGGTTTTGTTCAAAAAGCTGCAACAGGCAGGCAGTGGACGATAAAAAGAGAGGAACCACCAATACAGGTGGTGGGACACCCACTTCGCGACTTGACGCGCCTGCTAATGGCAGCTAAACGCGCTGAGCCGGGGTTAGGCTTAATTGATTTACCGCTTCTGGCTAGCTCCCGGTGCACGGTCCCGTTCTCCAGCGCTGTTAGTCCGCTTTCAGGCGCAATCTTCGCGTTTTCAGTGGGAGCTGCCCTGAATCCCCTCTTTCTTTCTGTTTGAATCGTGTCTCGACGGCAATGTCGAAGGTATGCTGCTCACTTCAGTTCCGATGATATGACTTCAACTATTTGACTCCCTCATTTCTGCTCGAACTCTACCTCCATTCTCCAATATATTTTGATTATTACATTATTCACCTATCTTACACCCTCCCCCAACTCAAAAAAGAATTTGTTGCAAAATGCCCGCCCAAGATCGTCTATATGAAAGTGTGTAAACGCCGTTAAATTCTGTATCCCACATTGCTCGCTTGCCTGCCCCCAGCTTTCAAATATTCCCATGGTCTGTGTATCCGTCAAAACGCCTTTCTACCCAAGGTTGTTGTTGTTGTTGCTGTTGAAGAAAACTGGCAAGCTGGCCTTCTCGTTGTTGTTGTTCTTGTTCGCCCCTCTCTTTTGTCTGCGCGCACTGCCATGATGCCATGCAAGAATATAATGGTCAAAGAAAGAAACCCCGAAGAAAAAAAAGAGAATGCCGCAGAGTTTGTCTGTCGTCATAAAGAGATCCTCGTCGGCGCCGCACTCCTTCCGTTTCCCCCGCCTGGCCCCATGGTTGTATGTCTCTTCGGCCTCAAATTAATCACCATCTCCAACTCCTTCAACATGCCCCTACTCGCTTCTGCCTTCTCCCTCTGCATTGCCCTCGTCTCTCTCTCCTCCTTCATTTTCACCAACCTCTCTTCCCTGGTCAGCATACTTCTTGGCCGAGCCGATAGCGCAACCGCCTCAAACACATCCGGCTCGTTGGGACTTGGCGAAGAGTTTCGTGTGGGAGACGTCTCCCCGGTGAGCGCTTTCAGCGCATCCTCCGCTCCGCCACCGGTTTCGTTCTCTTCGCCGACAGTGGTCAACCCGCTCAGAGAGGTAGCAGGCGAGTACAACATGCTCATAGACGAAATACGTTTCTCGTTGCGGTCGATTCCTGAGGCTAGCGCAGCCTTGCCATCCTCCCAAGCTTGCTGCAGCATCTTGAGGTCCTGGCCGATAGACTCGTATTGCGACATGAGGTCGAGACCAACTTCAGAGATATCGTCGGCTTCGTTGAGTGCTTTCTCGGATTCTTCACGCAACAGTGCCAGCTTGGCTTGGAGACCGCGGATGCCCGTCGATAGAGAGTTGAGCTTGCGGAATTGCGTTCGGCGTTTCTCGCGGTTGGGGGAAAGAGGGAACTTGGTTTCGGGGATGGCGGGGAAGCCTGGTCTTGTTAGCTGTTGTGTTTGTGTAGCGTGCAATAATACGGGATGAAACTCACTCTCTTCATCGCTCAAGATGAGACGAAGCCTCTCGTAGCAATCACCTGTCAGACTGCTCAGCTGGCTGAGACACTGGGCCGCCGTCGACCAACGCACAAAGTCGCTGTTGTCTCCCGTAGCCTCGAACGCAAGCAAAGCGCAGAGGAGCAGCTTGCGGATGGTATGGAACCGAGCAGCGGCAATCTTGAGCACCCGTAACGACTCCGCCTCATCCGTTGCGACCTCCGGAAACCCTTGCATTGCATCGGAAACGTCAAAGTCGGTAATGTCGTAAACGTCGTAGTACTTTTCCAGATCCAACTGTTCCGAAAGTCCCTTCACGGCTGTTGTCACTTGGATGTAGCTCTTGATCATATCGGCAAACCGCTGCTTGAGAGCTTTGCGCAGGCGTCCGCATCGTCTCGTTTGGCTTCGGTCTTCGATTCTGCTGATAGGCGGTAGTGGTGCGCTCCTGGTTTTTGTTAGCCGCAGTTAACCCCAATATCCTCCGGAAGACCACACTCACAGCCTATACCCCCTCGACACCAACTCAACCTCCTGAATCAACGACAGCGCCGCACTAGTAGCACTATCCCAATCCTGACTCTTCGCCACAAAAGTAGCAACCTCCGCCAGCGCCTTGTTCCGCACATATCTCAGCCACTGCTTCCGGATATAAAAGTGCGCCACCAATCCCACCGCAACGGCAATCACGACAGCAACCAGCACCCCCTTTTTGGTCAGACGAGCATATCCTCCCAAGCACAGCCACCTTATCCCCAACGCCACCACCAACGCTCCCGCAGCCGTCGCTATCAGCCCCGTCGAGTTCGGTAGTACGACATCGTTATTTTGCTCTTTCGAAGCATCGGCATCTTGATTTCGGTAAAAGTGATTAAGTCCAGCAACCGAGTGTCCACTCAACAACTGCGAGGCGACGATCGTATATCGAAACTGCTCGATGAATTTTTGGTTGTCGGCGCGGTCTATCCTCGCTGTTACGGCCTTCTTTTCACCACGAACAAACGTCATTAGTTCAACACACATGGCCCCTATGATTTGAGCGTAAAAGATCCTTACAGAATAGGAGTCATGTAGCGAGCCGAGCGAGCTGTATCGCTTCATGCGGTGTGGGATCTCGAGTTGTATTGGCTCGGGGGCGTTCTTTCGGAACCGCTTGCGGACCATGGGGCGGCCTACGGGAGCGAAGTTGGGAGAGGAGGGGGGTGAGATGCTGTGTTCGGAGAGGCGGTCATCGTGGGCATCGTGGAATTGGCCATTGTGGTCGGACTCGGAGGCTGGCGGTGTTGACCAGTCATTGTTGCGTGTTTCTTCGCCTTGATCTGTCATGGCAAGTAAGTATTGCTGTGCTTTAGAGATGGACAGTGAGTAGGTAAGCGAACCCTTGAGATAATTGGCAAGAGGCTCACAATCCTGAATTACGGTCTCCATGGATGCCACTACGGCCGGACAACGACTCGGACAATGACGGGACTCGGACAAGAGAACGGGAGAGGAGCATCCAACAAAGAAACGGGAGGTCGGTATGTGGTGCTAGCTCTCCATCTGACGCCAGGCGGCACTCTGAACAAGGAAGAAAGAAAGAGGAGTGTGCTTGTCCCCTTGTTTCGACGGAGTACAGATACCAGGCCGGCGGCACCACGCAGTTTCCTTGTTTCAAGTCCTGGTTCCTCCTTCGATCGTCTTTAATGTCCGTAGTTCTGCAGAGCTAAAGCTAGGCGTGGGTCGGTGTGGCTGAGATCTGGGAATCGGTGGGTTTTCTTGGTGTCGCTTATGCTATGCGAGGTGGTCGAGACGTGCGAAAGCAAAGTGCGGCGCAAGGTGAGATGTTGGAGTACCTAAGTAGTGTTGGTGCTAGCGCTGTCGGTTATCGGTGCATATGCCCTTTTGTCTTTGTTGTTCCGTGAAACGTTGTCAAGATTCGATCGATCGTGGTTTATCGTAGTTTGGATGGTTGTATGTTGTTGTCGATGTTGAAAAGGAGTGTCAAGGTTCAGTTGGAAATTGGTGTAAGTGACTACAGTATTGATGACCGCTTGAAACGGGGTTGTCGTACGGGAAACGGGCAACTGGCGACGTCCGAGCCTTGAACGAGCGAGCGGCTGGCGTTGTCCAAAATGAGAAATTGTAAATTGTGACAAGTGCCAATACTAGTGGAATGATTATCAGTTATGGAAGCCTTTTCTTCTCCATGAATTTAGTGTTTCTCTCCACAGCTGAGTCCCAAAATAACATAGTTGATGGTCCTGGGGATGCTCATTAAAAGGTCACAGAACCCTGGCAGATGACGTGAAATTTGACGCCACTCGTTCTGCAACTCGCGAACCAAGGGGGGTGGATTCTGTATCTTACCGTCTTTGCTGTGATGATCTGCTGCCCGTCTCTCTCCAGTCCAGTAACCAAATGCCAGCAAAGTAAAAAGTTGGAAGATTAAAAAAGGCCCAACGTCGCACAGTTATGTCACTCCCAGGAGTGATCCATAGACCATGAGCTCAGCCTTGATATCGGTGAAGAAGGGGGTCCAACAGAAATAAAAAAAGAGACAGGCTGGGAGATCCAACCATCAATCCCTAGGTTGAAACATTTCAGTTGAATGACACCTTTTCTTCAGGAGGCTGGACCGCTCGTTCCGTTGTTACGCTAGTGCACCTTGAACCCTGGAAATTACCTCGACACATGCCAGTGTCGCCGCGTCAACGTCGCCGACGCCGAGAGGCCAGGAATGCTGACAAGACGGTAAGAATACGATAAGATTACAGTACAACGGATCGACGGCCCAAGGCTTCGTTCTTCGTTCCACCGGAAGCCGGCAATGGAGCCGGAGAGCCGTAAAGGTTCTTAGCAGCTGAAGCCCTGCCACGTGCGCCGTTGCCTGCCGGGATCAATTCTGTTGTGCATGGCTCTCGGGGCAGGCATCCACTGTCATTGAACAGCTCCAGGCCAGCTCCGTTTCCCTGACGTTGGCCATCTGGGGCGAGCTGGGTCACTAATTGACACGCAATTGATCAACGACACCATCCAGACCAGACCACGGGAGTGTACTACCTATCACCATCCTAACGACCCCACGACGTGAAACGAATTCGCCGATACTTAAAACGAGACATAACGAAACAAGCGAAACGAAACAAAAGCGACGAAAAACAAGACGACGATCCGGGGTAAATTGGCTGGTTGCACATCAAACCCCCGCCAAGAAATCAACAGCACCCAAGCTCTCTTCCTGTCGCATAGTAGGCCTGGCGCCAGATACACGATACATCACCATCCGTTGAATCAAATCATATTCACGACAAGATACCCAAAGCCACCATGCTATCCGAACGAGACTTCCAAATTTCGCCCATCGTGCAGGAGAGCGTGATGCACAACTCCAAGGTTCGTTTCATTGTCACCAGCTCCCCATACCATACCTTTCTTTCCCCCCGCTCAGCTGCCCGCTCTCCATCATCCACCAACCCAGTCTCCCCCTCTCCCTCTCCCCTCTCCCCTTCCCCTTCCCTCCCAAACAAGAACTAACACATAAAATCACAGGCCCTCCAAAACCTCCAATCCCTCTCCGCCTCCCTCTTCGGCATCTCCGCCGGCATCCTCGGTCTCGAATCCTACTCTGGCTTCCTCTTCTACCTCTTTTTTTCGTTGCTCACTTCCTTTCTCATCTACCTCGTCCGCGTCGCCCCTTTGTCGTCACCAAAAGAGTACAAAGATAATAAAGGCACAGGCAACGGACTGGGGAGCGGGGTAGGCGGCGTCAAGAAATATTTCCGGAGTGGGTTCGAGTTTTGGGCGGGCGGAATCATGAATGGGTTTGCGGGGTTCGTGTTGACTTGGACGTTGTTTTATGGGTTGGTTAGGGCTTAGTTTTGTCAGGCTGGGCGGAGGAGGGAAAGGGGGGTGGAAGGGAAGGGGAGAAGAGGAGGGTAGAGGGTTGGAGGTGGGATGTGGGAGATGGGAGATGGGATGTGGTCATGTGTGGAAAGACGTAAGAGGGAGGAAAAAGAGGAGGAATGAAAGACAGTGTTTGGCTGAGGACGACATGGGAAACTGCTACGTGTGTTTTGACGACGTGGAATGCGGAAGCACGATAGGCAGAGGAATAACGAACATGATGTTTTGGATGGCAAACACGGGTCTTGCGTTGAGACCTGATCATGAAACTGGAAGCACGTAATGCTACGAAACATCACGACATTGGTTTATACATTACCCAGCCGGGATAACACCCAATGGAGCCGTTGTTTACAAACAAAACACAATTCACCAATGCTAACAAGAACACTATGCTACCCAGACACTATCTCCGTTACATCATCTAACCAGCAACAGCTTCGACAATACCGACAACATCAAGAACAATAAACAGAATTACGCTATGACCAAAGCAAAAACAATCAACTCGTATCCAAAGCGACAAAAGAGCAAAAAAGACTCGCTGTCACACTTACTCATATTCAAAAACAAACCATAGGAAACAACACAGATCACTCAACAATCTCAACAACCCTCCCTACAAACCCCTCCAACCGCGACGACCGATCCCGACTTCCATTATCACCCAATATCAAGATCCTCGAGCCCAGTTCGATCCACTCGCGATTGGAGAGGAGTTCCAGTTGGACTTCGCATCCCTTCTTTCTTGTCTCCTCGCCATTTGGGTCTAAGCCATCACCATCACCATTGCCCGCGTGCAAAGGGTCTTTATAGGCATCTTCACCCTCCCCAAAGGTAAACACGTCCCCATCACCTTCCTCATTCTTACCCGTAGACTCGGGAGAAAGAGAGGGACTGGGAGTGAGACGAGTGACCCTCACCACCCTTGCAGACGCCCTAACGCTGGCCACGTAGACGTTGACCAGACTTCCCACCGTCAGCGATCCAGCCACACCCTCGTCCTCCGCATTTCCATCACCATAGGAGGAACCGTGGTTATCATCCTCAAAAACCGCCGTGACCCCACTAGCAGCCTGCAAGGTGGTAGACGACATGTGTTTCCCAGGAACAGCGAGGACCATACCCTTTCTTATCCTCGCTGCCCTCTTACCTCCTGTGCCATTCCCATTCCCATTTCCATTGCTTGTCTCTGCAGTGTTCGGGTCACGGTGATCAAACACCATCCCTATACTACCCACCTGCCCGGCCGCCAGTGTTTGCACCGGCAACTGAAGGTTACGGATAGACACCACCTTGGCGGTGTGCCATTCGCCTTTTGCCGAGGAAGCAGACGCCGACGGGTTGGACTTGGCCGATGAGTTAAGGCGGTTGAGTTCAGCTGATGACGGGTTTGCTTCAATATCAGATAGGGTAGGGCGGAGGTGACTGTCACTGCCCGTGGCCGTGGCCCCTACTGCGCCTAGCGAAGGAGTAGCTGGGCTGGGCGTGTCGCTGATATCGTCAGACGAGGAAGATGAAGGAAAGGGACCGACGACTACCGTGTCTCCTATCGACAGGCTGCCGAAGCGGAGATAGCCTGCTACCACGGTGCCGAGGTCTGTTTCCTCGTCTGAGTCGCCTGTTGCTAGCGATGAGGATGCAGCGAGATTGTACTGGTCTTCAATGTGGAAGAGTGAAGCAGGCTGCTCAGGGTTTAGAGCTGGGCCGGTGAAGTCGTGCGCGGTTGGGGTGGGAGGCAAAGGCAAGCCCTGGAGTAAGGCGTGCAGCATGCCTAGGCCGCGCCCATCGACGGCGGAGGTGAGAACTATCGGGACGACTGATAGGAAGTCACCGTTGGAAGCAAGTTGGTCGGCGATCTTAGCGACGGCTGCTTCCTCGGTTGGCGAAACATGAGTAAGATCGGAAGGGTTGGTAGCGTCGGCTTTGAGAATAACTGGAGTTCTACCGGCTCGCTTGATGCCGGTGAGAACTTTGTTGAGCGTCGACACGATGGACGGCTTGGATGCGAGATCAAGTTTGGTGATGATTATCGCAAGGGGCAGTTTAAGTCTCAAGCATAGCTCGAGGTGGGCGGAGGCTAGGTCGATGCCATTGCTGCCACCTGTTGGAGTGGTTCCCGGAGCCGGGGCGTCAACGGAAGGGGAAGCATCGCTGCCGTCGGCTGCTATGCAGAGCAGTGTCCAATGCGGCGCCCAACCGACGGTACCGCGAAGGATGGTCCTACGATATCTTGGAGCTCCGGCCGAGTCCACTAGGTAGACCAATCGACCGTCTCTGGTGAAGTCATGAACGTCGATCCAAGATTCAACTCCGCTGTGAGCATCGTTGATGATTTCGTCTTCATGGTAACCGACCAGTGCTTGAGCCACGGAAGAAGTGACGCCCGAAGCTACTTCATGAGGGTGCTTCAGCAAAATGAGCCGGCTTTTTCCACGGCCATTATCCAGTGAGCCTTGAGACAAAATGCCCAGAAGCGTAGACTTCCCAGACGTAGTCGGCCCCGTAAGCGTAACGCGCAACTGGTTCGCGGTCAACGGACCCTGTTTCATGGTGGGCAAAGCCGAAGGCACAGTACCGCTAGCTTGAGCAGTCAAATCCGGCATGATCAGCGCTTCAGCCACCCATAGCTTGTCCTTGCGTCGTGACTTCCGAGGTTCTTCGAATAAGGAATCCCCAAGCTCATCCGAAGACTCGATCCATTCGCACTCGCCCACAATCACCATCCTCAGCACGTTCATGTTGCACCCCAAGCTCGCCGCCATGACCCTCAGGTTTGCCAAACTTTCATCCAGCTCATCTCTCGTCAGCCCGACAAGTGTGCCGTCATCTGCCACCCCAATCTCATACAGCGCACCTCTCGATGCCTCCAGCCCCGGTAACAGCTTTCCCAGCTTCACCTTCCCATCCCGCTCCAGCTCATACGGGGCCGGCAGTTTTGGGATCACCAGATCAACAGCCGCGGAGCTGGCATGGTAAGGACAAGATTGCTGGAGTCTCCAGAGCAACTGGGTAGTCAAGTGCTCGAAACGGTCCTGTCTCGTTGTGGTTGCGCCTGGGCCACCTCCGACAGAAACGGGAGTTCCGCGTAGTGACTTGGACGTAGGATCATAAGGCAGTGGTCTGCTTTGGGTTGAGCCGCAGATCTTGGCTGTTGAGGTGCTGCTGTGCTCGTACTTGCGACGAGGGCGGAGGAGAAGGTGGAGCTTGTATTCGGTTGGACCCTCTTGGGGCTCGGCTTCTAGACGGGTGATGCCATTGTAGTCGGAGAGCAGACCGGTTTGGATGACGCCGAGAGTAGTAGGGGTTGAGGAACGGGCCTCCGGAGTGGAGCGCCGGCTGGGCCCTTCGGAGGATTTGAGCCAGGGAGAGGAGACTCGCGGGGGGTTGGGATCAAAAGTGAAGACGGACATGTTGATTTGGAATTGTTCGCTGGTAGTGTGATTGATTGGGGGGTGGTAACACCTTTGAAGTTTGGATCACAAACTCTGGTTGATATGTGATGTTGAGCAAGACGGTTTAACAAGCAATAACAAATATCAGCGAGTCTCGTGGTGGTGATATCGGGGATAATGAACTAGTATTGCACGATGAAGGGATGTGTTATAGGAGGATAGTGTGTATATTCGGGTAACCATTTTGGATGCTGTAGAGCAAGTTGCTCGGTGTCTGGTGATGTTGGTAATAAGAATAGTGGGTGGTTAGGTGAGGTCCGTGGAAAGGGTCCTAACTGGGTGCTTGTGGCAAGACCACTACTCTGCTTAATTGGAGATGGAGAACATTGCGGTGACGGGTTCCGTTGTTGACTTTTCTTTGAAATACAATATGGAGAATGCAAGAGGGGGTTTTCTCAAGTCAAAAGTGAGGTTAAAGAAGGAAATAAAATGTGAAAGGTGTTTGGTCGGTGAGTGACGCATCAATGTTGCCTTCCTCTTTCGTCCAGCGCTAAATGCTTATGGCGGTCTGTGCATTGTTGGGAATAATGGTAAGTATCTGAATGCTTAGATTATGTAGGTACTACTGCCCCCCAGGCATTCAAACCAGTTCCTTTCATTCTAAAGAGATGAAAGATGGCGTCATTTGATGTCTTTCGGTAATCTGATCTTATTGCAAGTATTTGATTCCAGAAAGACGCAAGCAGTTGCCTGGTTATCTGCTAGGTAGCCATTGTCGGCATCTCGTATTGTTTAATACATACAGCTGGTTACATACGGGTTCAATACCTTGGCACAGTTCTGCAACGTGGAGCTGCAAACAACACCGGACCACAGTTGAAGCAGAAAAACCAGCGGCGAGTTGAGAAACTCCTGGAATTGTACTATCAGCTTTTTGCATCAAACTTGGTACAGTATCAAGACGGAGTGCCTGGCGCTTGAGTTGTGCAGAGTGCGCATCCAAGTCCCGCCCTGAAAGCGAATGTTCCATGTTCCTGCAGTGTAAGGTAATTCTCAGCTCCTTCCTCACCATAACTGTATCGGCTCCTGCCGCTCCTCCGAACAGAGCACTAACACCACGGCAATTAAGGCCACTGCCATGGCAGTTATCCGGTACTTGCACAACTGCCACCCAACCGCCATTTGCCCGCAATCAAATGCCGACCAGCTGGTCATTTCTTAACAGCAGCTGCCGCAAACCCTCTGGATTCTGCACTCCAGGCAAGCTCGGCAGGCTTCGATGCCGTCTCTTTGTTCGAACTTTCCAAAACCAGTCTCAGCAGGAATTCACTTCATTGATCAAGTAACGAGGGGCGAAGGCGAAAGGCCATGCCGACGGGGAGCATTTCCTGCCAAAAGAACACCACCCGGCAACTCTATTTAATTGTTGCCCGTTGGCCTCCCACGGCCTCATCTCAGCCATCCATCACCGAACTAGGTGCGACAGCGACCACCAGCAGTTCGATACCCATCATCCATCAACATGGGTCACAAAATGTCGAAACCCCTCCGGCAGGAAGCCGATATCTCGGAAAAGCCCAAGCCGGCCCAGAGATACAGCACTTGGGGATCCACGACCACATGGAGAACCAACACTTGGGCCAGCCGTGATGCCGACCCCGACCTCGAAGCTCAGATGCAAACGGAGAAGACGGAGACCAAGAAGAAGACCAAGAAGAAATCAATATGGCGGTCGTTGGCGTGTGGGATCAAGGTAAGCATTTTATCGAATACACACATAGCATCCAAATCCCCAGCACTAGCACAGTCCAGCCCTAGCCTGCGACACGTTCAAGCCCGCTTTCCCCTGGATCGCCCTTCTCCACTGCCCTTTCCTGTGCATTTCAGCGTCTCCCCCACCACTCAGGAGCCAGGAACCAGCGGAAAAGGAGGCCCCATGGACACCATCCATGTTTCGACTTCCGTTTGACTGGACCCTTGGAGGAAACATCAGACAACATCTCTTGACTGGTCTGGACATGGGGTGACGATGAATGCCGGCACGTCCACCGCCAAGAGAGCCAGGAATGGTCAACACAGCCTCAACACCAACCAGCCCACGGACAGTCTCGCAAAAAGAGAACCAAAAAGGGCGAAATCTCAGCATGGGCGAGACGCGGACACAGCGGAAGCAGGCCATCCGTCGGTGTTAGTGGTCAACATGTTCCACGCCGCCATTGGCGTAACAGAAACACCTGAAAATGGCTGCTTACAGGCCAAACACACAAGACCCGCAAGATCCGTCCACACTTTCCCTCCCACTCGGTGGCCAATGCAGGCATCTCCAGATCGCCCCCTGCTGCTGCTGCTGCTGCTGCTGCTGCTTCCTGCAACTTGTCTACATACCTACACATGAGCATGGGACCTCCTTGCCAACATGGTTACAACGCTTGTATTACGGGCCTTCCCCAATCATTTACAGCACTCCATCGGCCGTCGGAGGAAGCACAGAAACCTGGAACGCTCTCCAGACACCAGTCAAGACATTCGGAAGTGTTCTCCAAGCGGGAACTACTTGTATCCCCCTGTTTCCCTCATGCTCATGGATTATTCTCCCTAAAAAAACAAACCCTCCATCCATTTTACTCCTTTTCTCCTTCCTCTCGTTCCAGTTCCACCGCATCCTGTCAATCACAACACATCAGTTTCCATCTCCTTGACATACCCATTGTTCCAATAACTTTAAGTGTACTGAGTATTGTAATCATCACAGTTTCCCAAAATGGGCTGGTCATTCGGACGAAAGAAGAACAAGGAGGCCGCTGCCGCCGAGAACCCCTATGCCCAGCAACCATCGGCCGATCCGTATGCCAACCAGCACGCGAGCCCTGCTCAGTCTCAATCTACTCTATCCAGCACCGCTAGCAGTGGTCCGTCCCCGTACCAGAACCAACAAGCTCCTCCTCCTTACTCCGCCGGAGGTCCGGTTCAGCAGCCGCCTGCTGCGGGTAGATACACGAACGAGAGATTCGGCACCACGGATAAATATGGTGATAACCGATACGATACCCCTTCCAGCAGCCACCAGAACCCTTATGCGCCCTCAACCAGCTCCAACTACAACTCGGGCGTTTCTGCTCAACCGTCTTCCAACAAGCAGCAGTACCCGGTTACATATGGCGACAACAAGCAGCCCGGACAGATTCCTCCTGATGGATATGAGCCGTCCCCCCAGGAACTGTATGGCAACAAGTATGGTGTGCCACAGGAGGAGCTCACGGAGGAGCAGAAGGAGGATGTGGAGTTCACTGATGTCCGAAACGAGATTGTGAATGAGCAAAATGCCACCATCAACACTTTGGATCGGACCATGGACACGAGTTATGCTGCTCTGGCGAACATGCGCAATGCACGACAACAGCTGAGGGAGCAAAACGAGAGGTTGCTGTATGCCAAGGGAAACATTGACCACGGAAGTTAGTTCTTGCCATGTATACCAAGTACGAAGTAGTGAATGACCTGAAGCTAACACCCTGCTACAGCCGCCCAAGCCCGTCAGGCCAAGGAAAGGGTCAAGGAACTTGAAAGAGTTAATCGCTCCATGTTCCTGCCTGTCGGCCACAGCAAGAAGACGCTTGACAGGATGGATAGGGACCGCCTTCAAGCCGAACTTGAGGAGAAGGAAATCCGCGAGCAGAACGCGCGCGAGCTCTACAAGAACCGTTCACAGGCGCAGATGGCCAACATGAAGCCTAAGAAGCTGGGACTTGGCGGCGGCGCTGACAACAAGAAGAAGTACGCGCTGGAGGATGATGAGGAGATGGACCACAACGAGAACGCCATCAACACCAAGATTGCGCTGATGGAGCAAGTTGCCGAGGAGCTCAAGGACGGTGCCCTGGATATTGGCGCGGGTCTGGATCTCAGTAATAGGTATATTGAGACCATGACTGAGAACGTAAGTGTTTTGTGTTCGGGGAGAGGATGCTGGGAAGAGCAAGATACTAACAGTTGCAACAGACCGATAGACTCAACATCGAGGTTCGCAGGAACAAGATGGCGCTCGAAAGATTTTAAACAAGATGGTTTGGCAGGTCGGTACGGTTGGATGGTTTGGAATGGCCGGAGTTTGTTGGTCTTAGGTTTTGCTGCGAACATGTGGTACACGCTTTCTTCAATGTTGATGTTGACATTGTGGGTTTAAGAAATGTTTATCAAACAAGAACATTTCTGCGGTGAGTCCGGTGTAGGGTCCCTCCTCAAATGATGGGTTCGGGAAACATGTTAGAACGCACGACGTTGCAATGATTCAGTAAATATCTACTATGGTAATCAACTAAGTCATGTACTTTTGGTGTCCGTATATGGTGATGTGTCTCTCACTTTTGACTCCTATCATGTGCTATTGTTTTTCACAAGTCAGTGTTCAGCCTGAGGTATTACTTTCATGAACAATGAATGGTACCATCCTCGCCTCTCTCCAAAGTCTCTGCGTCCTCTTTTCTTCAATTCAACGATTATGCCCTGTTTTCACGCATACCAAAAGCGTTCGCTCCGCTCTTCTAGATTATCGTTTTACTAGTACCTGGACCTGGTACATCACTAACATCATCACCCCTTTCTTTCCTCTCCTCCTCCTTAACAACCTTTCGGCCACCACCAGATGCTCCGCACAAAGTCTACCTTCTCTCAACTTACTTACCTCTAACCTTCTCATCAAGTGTATATCAACAAAGCCAAATAGTCATACTACTAACACACATGTTCACTCTCTTCAACACCTAATTACACCTAATTACACCTAGCTAAACTCGTGTTGTCTGCCTTGTCTTGTCTATTTTATTTTGATACAAGCCTATTAAGTACGGTAGGTAGGTAGGTAGGTAGGTAAGTAGGTACTTTTATTACCTGTCACGATTCAATAGCCTTTTCCTTTTTCCTTTTTTTCCTTTTTTTTCTTTTTTTTTTTTTTTTTTTCTTTTCTACCTCTAGCTGCTACCTGTAGATACCTTTAGATACCTTTAGGTAGCTTGAGGTACTTCTAGGTAACTACTGCTATGAAGCCTAGGTATCTAGTTACCTAGGTAGGTATCATATTTAAATTCAGATTCAAAGTCACAACATGAACCCGGCCGGGTATGGTTCCAACAAAACAAAGATGATGAAATTGTACAGATTCGTCTTTATTCACTTTCAGTCCATAGGGGGAAGAAGTTAGGAGATGCCAGATGAACAATTACCGTTAATTTGCTAGGGTCGTCTTTAGAGATAACCTTTGTAGAGTGATTATTAAGGTAAGGAATGGGGACAGGGGCAGAGGATTGGTAGAGGTTATGGTGCTGTGACTGCGAGGTGAAGACGGGTAGGGTGGGTAGGAGATGAGGAATGAGAGATGGGCAGTGCAAGACTGGAGACGAGAGATGAAAGATGGGCTGGGCGGGAGGTGGGTTATGTACAGTGTAGACGATTAGAACCAGCTTGGATGTCAAGATACAGATAACTAAGGAGCATAGGTATGTGTTTCAATGTCCTGTAGATGATGATGAATAGTCCTACCATTCGTCCTTTCTGGTTTTACTGATGTTTGGTCCAGTTCGGAATAGATATCATCCAGCACACGAGGGGTACAAAGCTACAACCGAAAACCACTATTAAATTAGACAGGAAGACCTTACTACAATAAACTGAACCACAGTCTTGAAAGTGGCCTTTCAGAACGGCTCGGCACCGGGCACAGTAAATCAACTCCCTCTTCCCCAAATCCTCTCCCTCCACCTCCTCATCACCAAAGCCACAATAAGAAACATTTTCCTACAAAAAGAAAACAATCCAAGTATTAGCCCACCCATCCTCTCCAATAAAAGAAAAAATTCAAACCGGATTTTAAAAAATCAATTCAAACTTGCATCATCATCACCACTTCTTCCTCCCCCATCGGCACCCCTCTACTCCCTTCCTCCTCCTTCTTCGCCCACACCCCCTCCGCCAGCTCCAGATCCTCCCGATTCTGCCTCGTCTCCTCCATCATCTCCATGTACCCCCTCTCCAAATCTCCCACTACATCCACCACTTCCCCCTTGGCATTCAACCAATCCCTCCTCACCCCCAACTTCGCAGCCGTCTCTCGGTGGCTTTGCGCCGTGCACCCCGCAAAACAGCCGCCCACGCCCTTGATTCGGTGGTCACTAAACCGCGGATCGCCCACTTGCAGAACCGTCTTGACGCGCTGCGCGGCAATGATGGAGTAGTCGTGGTTGGCGCTGTGGTTGGCGGTGATGAGGTCCTTAAAGACAATGGAGAGTTTCAAGGCTTCGCGGAGACGGTTCAGTTTGAAGAGGGTGAGGCCGTGGCGCTCGAGGGAGACGAGGGTGTGGGAGTGGGTTTGGCCGTACTTTTTGGATGCGAGGGCGAGGGCGTTGCGGTGGACGAGGAGGGGGCAGGGGAGGCGGGGTGGTGGTTGCTGTAGTTGTGGCGGCGGTTTGTTGGTATGGGATGATGATGATGATGGTGAGGGTAAGGATTCCTGGAACTGGAGACCAAGTTTGGCCAAGGATTCCGAGGCGATTAGGGTCATGATGTCGTCGTCGCCGTAGATGTCTTTGATTTCGTCGTAGTGGGCCCACAAGAGGTCCGTCTTCTCGTGGAAGGAGAGCGTAGTGGAAGAAAGGATCTCCTTGCGGTAGGCGTCTTGTTTGTGAATGTCCATTTTTTCGTCGACGAGCTTGTGTTTCTTGCGATAGTCTGCCTTCATCTTCTCGATTTCCTTGTATATTTCATCTTGTTCTTCCCAGGTCAGGTTCGCGACGGCCTTGGGGTTTTGACCCCTCTCTATCCAGTACTCTGTTTCGATGATTTGGTCGCCACAGGGCTGGAGGTATTCATTGTCAGACTTGATGCCGCTTTCCCAGATCATCTCGTCGGCTCTTTCGAGGGCTTCGAGTCGGCCTTCGGGGTATCCGGCTTCCATAAGGAGATCGGCTAGACGGCGGAGGGAGGTAATCACACGCCTGCAGTATTCTCCCGCTTCTCTGGGTGTAACGTATTCTTCGGAATCCGTCTCAATAACCTTACCATTTTCCCGAACGTACGAGACCCTGTCCCGTTTGAGACAAATGTATCTATTTCGCTCGTAGGCCTCAAGGAGCGTCATGTGGGCCTTGTGCCAGTCTTGACGCTTAACGTAGAAGTCACCTAGTCGGTCAATGGCTTCGATGGCGCGTCCTTCGTCCAGCCAGCTATTCTGCTTGTATCGTTGGATAGAGGAGATCAAAAACTTCTCTGCTTCTTCCCAGTTGCCAACGTTTTCATTGGCGAGGGCCCAGACCTTGTCGTAGTGAGCTTCACGGTACAAATCACCGATAGCTGTTGGAGGTGCGTGTTCGTTGAGTGCGAGGCCGTGCGGTACCACTTTTGTCCGGTAGCTGAACTCTTCCGGGCGAGACAATTCGGGTATAGACTCAAAGAGGATGCATCGAGCGGAGAGCGCGTACGACTCCTTCTCGGTGAATCCGTATTGGTCTTTGGCTGAGGTGTCCAGTCTGTCTCTGGCCCAGGAGTGAACTAGCACGTGCATGGAAAGCGACCGATGTCGGTCTATCCTCACGAGAGAAAACTGTTTGAGGATGTTGGCCCCGCGGCGGAACCAGGTCGGATCCCACTTTCGGTCCTCGTCGAGCTCAATGATGATATTGGCGTTGCGGTCGGTGTCTCCCCCAAGTTGCTGATCAATGGGAATTTCTTGCTGTCCCTCCTCCTCGAGCTGCTCGCTTCGCCAGTTGGCCGCTCTCATGAACATTTCTTCGGGTATGTTATCGTAGTGATAGAAACAAATGATGTTGAGAATCTTTATGGCTGTTTCGTAGTCGCGTGCGTGTTGATCTTCGTTGATCCTTCGGGATTGCCTGCGAAGGGCGAGATACGACAAGTCAAAGGTGACATATACAGCCGGATCACCTTCCATGTCTGTGCCTGTCGTTGACTCCTGCCTCTCCCTCAGCAATTTGTCCCGCCTCTTTCGAAACTCCGTAAGGTAGTCTTCAATGTTGCGCTCTGTCATGTGGATGTTGGCACCGGCTTGGTCAATGGCCAATGGCAGACAACCCAACTCCTTGACTAGAGCCGTACACTGCTGCCGCTCTTCCGGATCCACGATCGTGCGGTGAAGAGTTTTGATGAAGAAGGTAGTGGCTTCATCATCGTCCATCTCGCGGACTTCCGAGACAGCCTCTGGGCCTAGCCTTTGAAGGAGTGTGTTGGTTCTGCTAGAATATAGCAGATTCCCTCTTCTAGGAATAATGTCGTTGTACTGGCCGTACTCGTCGCCCTTGTGAGCGTAATTATCGAAGATGAGGAGCCATCTGCCATTGGAGGCATTCATCCAGTTCAGGACCACCGCCTGAGATTCTTCGATCTTGTCTGTTTGTATCCCAAGTTTTAGTGCGATATTGTGGTAGCTTTGCTGTACTGTGTTTTTGTTGGTGGCATCAAGCCAGAAGACGTGTTCAAACCTAAGGTACTTCAATGTCAGTGAAAGTCCAGAAGGGTGGCAATGTTCAAAGAAACATGTTACCTGTCTCCGTGAATCTCGGCAAACCTCAAGGCGATTTGCGTCTTTCCGATACCGCCCATGCCCCAGAGAAGATATTCCCGGCGCCGCTGGTTACGTCCATCTGGGTCTGATAGCAACACTTTCGCCATATTCCTGAGAATGTCAGCCCTTCCAGTGAAGAAGTTGCTAGACAATCCCATTGGACGAGCTTGTAGCGACATGGCCACCGCACTCTTTTCCAGCTGACCTGTGCAAAATAAGTGTCCGAATATAAACGGCAACAGTTTCTAGAAATAAATGGTGAACTTACAGACCAAGCCGATCCACGCTCCTTCTGATTTCCTTTCAGCAAGTATCCTAGCCACCTTTTCGATTTGCGCTGCGACTTCAGGAATATCCATATACTTTTCCGTCATCTTCTCCAACATCTTCATCTTCTTGTACTCGGGTAGTTTGACCGCATCGGCCGCGCCAGGAACACTGAAGCGAAAGTATGTCTCGTTCCACCCATCGAGGAATCTGGCAACATCGATGTGCTTGGGATCAGGGTCCGTCAAACTGTCCTTCATCACTTTACCCATTCGCCAGCCCCAAGAAAGACCCTGGCCGAACCACCGACCAGACCTCCTGAGGGTCTTGTCCGCCTTGGTGCCGCACCCAAGGCTCAGGATACATCCCAGCTTGAGGGTCGGATCCAAAGATGTGCCCGCCTCGTTCAGGACTTCGGTGATGGGGTTGTTATACCCCAGCGCGCCGTCAAGGAATTCTTCCGGTACGTTATCGTGGCTGATGGTCATCGGGGCAAAGAAGGTCGGCGCTGCGGAGGTCGCTCGAGCTGCTTCCCAAATCTTGCAGTTGCTGTATTTCCGGTCTTTGGAAGAGTAACTGCGAAACCGCCGTGGAGGACCGATCTTTGCGGAAGTTACGGCGCAAACAAACGCCTTGCAAGTGGTTGGCTCGTCAGTCGGGTCGTACATGAGCTCGCTAGTTCTTCGCTCTTGGACGAGCTTTTTCACTACTGTTTCGAGTGCCTCTGCTCCGTACTTTGCGCTGATCTCGAGCCTCTTTTTGTTGTGCCTGTGGAAAATGACTTTACCCAAGTCGTAGTACTTTGCCAGAGCTTCTTCAGTGGTCATGCGTAGCCTGCCAAGCAGAATGGCGACCAGTCTGTGGGAAAGAAACAGGTCAGTCTCAGGGAAATACCCCCTCAAACCAAAGAGATAGGAAAAATATACCCTCCAGTGCTGGTTCCGCCCATAATGTGGAAGTACTCGCATGGCTTTGGCAGTTCCTTGAAACCCTCAATTTCCTGCACCCTCTTCATGATTCTGTGAAGCATCACCACCTCCGACAACCCACGAACTCCTCCACCGTCTGGTTGGTACCGACCGTCGTTAGCTTTGTTGTGAGAGAAACACAGGCTGAGACATACCTAGGGAGAGCAAGTTGACCGGGCCATCGATTCTCTGGTGCCGTTTCCCTTGATGAACCATCTTGCCTCTTTCTTTCTTCCACTCTTTCTCTCAGCAAGAACTAGCAGTATCCCCAAAGAAAAAAGAAAACCAACGCAAAAGGGTATCACAAAAAGTAAACAATCAGTAGAAAAGTCGTGAACAGCAACGATATCAACCAACCATCAAATCATGTCAGCAACCAAGCCATCGCAATGGTTGAAGTCCGAGGAATGGGAAAAAGCGCCGTCACCATCTTCATATAATCAATCCCACCCACCGTCACAGTTGCATTTCTTCTTCTTTTTGTTCGGCCGCCCACATTTGTCCACCCGACCACTCGACCCCTTCCCTCTCCTCCCCCTCCCCAGTCCCCCTACCCCTGTATCCGTTGGCGTTCAGCCTGACTCCTCCTCCAAGGTACATGCAGATCAACCAATCCATGCTGCAACCCGCCCCCAAGTCTCACGGTGGTCTATCGTCGAATCGAAACCGTCAGCGCTTAAGGCGACCAAAGCCACTGGGCATAGCCGCAGCGTTACATTGCAGGAGGGGCGGTAGGGAGGGGGGGAGGGCGCCCCATGGTACCGCGGTTGGCACAGTGAGCGAGCGGGCTATCGACACCGTTCAGGTCGAGGAAGTTCAGGAGAGGATGCTCGCGGGGATACATATTTTCGGAATAAGGCACCTGTCATCGACATCCAGGTTCTGTTCGCTCTGGAGTTGTGCGCTGATTAGGGCTGTAGATAGTGTTTTTGTTGTCATCGTGATGATGATGATGTCCAGTGCCACCCATGGAGACGGGAAGTGGCCCGATGTCGTGGCGAAGTTGAAGGTCGGAGCGGAGGGCGCTCTCTCATCCGCTAATATCCAGCGGGACGAGCCGCTGTCGTTTGAAGAAAGAAGCTCAGGTCACAGTGTCTGTTACTGTGTCTACTGTAAGCCCCTGTAACACTACTGAAAGTCCGCTGTGATGGAGAGCGCCAACCTGCATCCTCCCTCTTTTTTTTTCTCACCATCACCATGGAGTCGTCCACTCGAACATCTCTCAAGCTCCAAAGGGGGTACGACGCGCTCCCACAAAAAACATGGACCTGAACAGCCAGTTAGAAAATGGTAATAAAGCTTGGTTCTTGGCTTGCGGCTAACCACATAACCACCCTACGATGGAGGAAACCGGCCTGATGGCCTTCCTCGCCGTCTCTCTTTCCTTGTGCTGGGACTAGACATGGTTGCATACATGTAACTCATCACATAGGCTCAGATAGGTTGCCTTCCATCTTTAGTTCTTCGCCTTGAACTCATAGATAAGTGTTCACGGTATCCCAAAGCCAAAGCCAAAGGGTTCCGGTCACAAAAAAACCTCGCACATGTCATGTTTATGAACTTCCACTTCCTTGAATCATAACGGTCCTCTGTATATTCTTAGACTCCAGTCCCAATACAATGTCTTCTGATGATGAGATCGTCAACATTCTCTCGCTGGGTACGAAGCTCATGGCCTGCTCTTCCGTAAAGTAACCTGGCTAACCTTGCCTTCCATGGTATCATACAGACGGCGGGGGCGTTCGTGCCTTGTCAGAAGTCATGATGCTTGATAGGATCATGAAAAGGATCAAAGAGAAACAGGGTCTCGCGGAGATTCCGAAACCATGCGATTACTTTCACTTGATTGGTGGTATCGGCACTGGAGGGTGAGTGTCTTTGACCATCATCACTACCTTACCTAGACATATGGAACGCTTACTCCGGCATCCAGAATCGCTGCGATCCTATTCGGAAGGCTACGCATGACGACTACCGAGGCTCTCACAGGGTATGAGAACATTGCCAGTGAGATCTTCAGTACCCGAAAGAGAAGACTCGAGTTCTCCGTCGACTTTAGAGAGGAAAAGGTCGAGAAAGGGATGAAGAACATTATGAAAGGCCGCAACGATGGCACCCAAATGAGAGACGAGAAAGGTGACCGCTCTATCGGAAAGTCGTTTGTGGTTGCTCGACGATCAGATGGCTCATTGCGACGAATCCGTGCCTATCGTCACAAGCAGAATCAACTGGACTTCACCATCTATGAAGCCGCAAGGGCAACTGCAGCGAGCATAGAGTCCGCCGGGGACCGGTATTTTTCGGACGATACCAAAGACTACAAGAACCCAATAAGAGAAGTGCTAGAGGAGGCAACGGAAGTCCTGGAGAACACAGCGAAAGTTGGTTGCGTTTTGAGTCTTGGGGCCGGCACCAAAGACATACACCACCGCGATGAACCGACAAAAGATGGCAAGAAACGACACACCGAAAAGACGAATAACGAAATGAAAAGGCGCTTCGCTAACGTGCCAAACACGTACTTTCGGCTGAATGTCTATGACATGGCCGACAAAGTCGAAGCTAATAAATCCCACGAGATTCCCGCGGTGAAGAGCGAAACAGAGCGGTGGCTAGGCACAAGTGCCATTAGAGGTGTAATCGACCGAATCGCCGACGTCCTTATCAAAGGGACCACATCAGGCGTGACTGTCGACAAACTCACGCTGGACGAAATAAACCCCAAGCCGAAGCAGGAAGAAGAAAAAACCGTCGAATCTCCCCCAGCACATCCAGTGTCCTATGCCAACACAAACTCAAATCAACTCATTGATTACAACAACAACGACATGGACCCCAACGACCCCACCTACCGCGCAGAACAAGCCGCTCTCTGGGCTCAATACTCCGAATACGCCTCCGCCCTCGGCCCTTCCTCGCCCGAATCCCTCGACCTCCTCCACCGCATCTTCAAACACATGCTCACCCACAAGCACCTCTCCTGCTCGCTCCGCGTCGCCGAAGAAGCCTACAAGCGCAGTCTCGCACGCCACGGCCCCCCCTCTGCGGTCACCGCGCTCACCACCTGCTCACATCTCGGCGACGTCATCACGGCGCTGACATCTCTAGGGGAGTTCGCCCGCGCATATGATCTTCTTGAGGGGCTAGTGGGTATCTTTGCGAAAGTGTCAGGTCCGGAGCATATCAACACATGGCAGGCGATGGAGGCGCTCGAGGAGCTAAAAAAAAGAAAGAGAGAGAGAGAGTGGGGGATGGAGCAAGCCATGTCGATTATGAGGAAGCATGAGGACTGGGTGAGGGGAAGGCCGGAAGCGGTCCTGCGGGCTGAGGTCGGGGATGCAAACTATGAGCAGAGAGATAGGAATTATGTGAATGCTGTGGTAGCCTACACGGAGATTCCGGTGGTGGATGTTTGTAGGGCCAAGGGGGGATGTAAAGAGAAGGGGTTCAGGGAGGTGGATGGTAAGTTGGCGATAGGAAGGACCTCCAAGGATGTAGAGATGGAGATGGGCTTGGTTGATGATTTCAGTTAGGAGTATGGAGGGAGAGGATTGCTCGTGCACGGCGGAGCTGAGGTATGTTGAGCATTTTCGATGATAATAAATGATTCATGAATGATACCAACCTAGCCGTTGACTTGTTTAATTTTCGAATGATCTCGTCTTCTTTGGATTTTGCCTGAATGTTGACCATTCGTTTGTATCGCATGGAATACATACATACTTGATTCTTCCAGTTGATGTTGTGGTACATGGGCGATTAAAGGCAGGGAGTACCAGTGACACTGTGATATTAGAGCGTTCGTGCTGCTTTCCTTGCACCTGAGGTTCAAATATTGCTGCTGGGCAGCGTGACAAGTATTGACTCTTGCCAGACTGTCGCATGACTTTTGCAGAGTAGCAACTTCCAAAAGATGTTGGCCATGGCTGCCCTCGCGTTTAGTTCTTGGGGGAAGTGGCGGAGTGGAGATCTGGGTATAACCTTCCCAATCCGTCCTTTGAGACAGATCCTGACGCTGTGTTGGCTGTGTTCGACCTGTTCCTTCCAAAATCGCCTTGAGCTCTCGGTCCCGGCGAGTTGTCTACAAGGCAAATTGGAACCAGGGCGGGCGTAGCTTCTTTCCAAATCAGCTCGAGAAATGGATACCTTCGCTCCAGGCGGAGATTACTTGCTCTGCCCGTGCCTTCAAAACATGTAGAGAGCAACTGAAGGAGAGGAATCGCCCATTTCTTCCGCGGAGCTTGCCGTACTCGGACTTGAGATCATCGATGTCTTTTTTGTGCGTCGCTCTCCGCTTCTCGTTTTGTGCCTCCAACTCGGTTTTTTACCGCCGCGATGGCTTGCGACACTGCAGGTGTGCCACGGTGAAGAAGTCTCTGCAGTGGCGGGAAGCTGCTCAACTTGGGTAGAGTCTTCGGAAGCTGGTACCGGAAGGAGCATGATGTTCTGAGGAAGGAGACCATTTCCAGACGTTGAGCCGATGGTTACCCGAGACAACAAGGTACCTCTATGCATATAAACCCCGGGCCCCATGTCTCTGAAGCAGTCTTCTTTTCACCATTCTCTTCACCCTTTCTCGATCTCTTTTCACAATTCTCTCAACTTCATCCCTCATCTGCACCAACACCAAGTCTCTGGGTCACCACTGCTCCATTGACGCCAACACCATCATGAACAACGACGCGGACCATGTACTGACCAGACTCTGGTAGCGCTACCGAGCCGCAGCCTTTCACCATCCTCTTCATTCTTTCCAGGTTTCTCTTCACAATCTTCTCAGCTTCATCCCCCGATCTGCACCAACACCCAGCCTCTGAGTCTGCACCAGCATCAAGCCTCTCAACTTCATCCCTCGATCCGCACCAACACGATCATGAACAACAACGCGGACAATGAATTGGCCAGCCTCTGGGAGCGCTACAGAGCTGCAGCCTTTGCTACGGGTGAGGATTCCATTGAATCCATCCCTGCGCTTGAACATGTCGCGCAGCATTTGCGCACCAAGAGGCACTTCTCATGTGCTGTGTGCATTCTGGAAGTAGCACAAACCCGCTGCTCCATGCGATATGGCCCTACTGCAGATGTACTGTCAACCAACTCGGCCAACTCCTGGATGCCTACATGGCAACGGGAGATCTCGACAATTCGAGCACAAGCTACAGTGCTGCATCCTCGCTCGTTATTCAGATGACAAACGACCATAGTGCTGATCATCCTCTGATGACTGAGATTGCCGGGCTATGTGAAGACATCAAAGCGGAGGTCGAGAAGAAAGGCGAAGGTGCTGGATTTGAAGACAGCTATCAAGTCGCACGAAGACTGGACGGCGAACAGGAGCGAAGGCGAATTGAGAGCAGAAGTTGGAGATGAGAAGTACGAAGAGCTGAATTCGGAGTTCCAGGATAACGTGAGGGTCTTAGAGATGGACAGAGAACATGATGTCTGTCAGCAGCCGGGACAGTGCAAGGATGATGATTTTGAGGCTGTTTTTGGAGCCGTTTTCATCCAGTCTTGACAGAACATTTCATCCCATCGCCGAGGACAGTTGGTTATATAGATAAGACATGACGTCGTTTATGACGGACAAAATGTGTTCTGTGTGAAGTCGAGCAGAGATAGGGTGAAGTAGGACCAGGGCGAATTCATTGAAAGATGTTCGTTGTAATGAAGAGGTCTCTAAGGAGAAGGCGTTCAAGGAAGTAAGTTATACGGGACAACGAGAAGAGTATTAAGAAAGATATATTGGAGGAGGTCGATAAAGTATTGGGTGGCTATAATAAAATCGTAAATAAGTAGTAAAGGAATTACAATGGACTGCTGTCAAAGTACAATGGTTTGCTAGAGAAGTAGGAGGAATTGATAGGCAAATATAAGTAATTAATAAAGAAGTGGATAGAGTTAGAGAAAGGTGAGGCAAAGAGATAGAAGATGGAGCCGAAGATGAATCCGAATGATCTGGTCGATGCCCTAAGGCCATTGAAGAAAAGAATCACTAAACGCGACAAAGACCGTGCCAGAGCGGCCAAATTTCGACGACCACGACAGGTTTATGATCAATCATTTCGTCCTGCCAAAGAAGAGATCAGCGGATAAGGAACTGCCAGAGTACGAACACGCCCGAGGAGCTCCTACTACCAGCATGGAGTGGAGATACGCTATTGCAAACTAACATGTTCCCGTCGTTAGTATATGTTGCTCTCAACCTGGCTGTGCCTAAGACTTCCGGTCTTCAGAAGTGGAACATCACGAAGCATACGATCGATAGCATCAGAGAGTTTTTTGCCTGGAAGGATCAGCAACCACCTGCCAAAATAATCAAGTTGAGCACTGTTCCAGACCAACCTCGTCGCTCCCGGCGCACCAACAATGCGGCAAGCGGCAGTTCCTCTGCGAATCCTACTTCTAGCACTGCAGCCCCAGATAAAGAGACTATAATGATAATCTCAGATGACGAGAAGGCTTCTCCTGAACCGGATGCGAATCCCACTTCCAGCTCTGCAGTCCCACCCTCAGTTGGGTAATGAAATGGGGGTTTATTCAGCCCAGCGTGGTTGACATGTACCGCGTCCAGGCACTTTTGGATGGGGAGCTGGACGAGACAAAAAGACTGTCGCAGGAGGCTGCGGCGGATAAGAAAAGAGAGAGAGAGAGTTGGAGGCAAAGACGAGGGAGCGGATCGCGGGGTGCTTAAAGGCCGGGGACAAGAAGGTTGAGGTACCTCTAGAGGGAGGTGCATATTTAAGGATGAAGAAGACTGGCGTCTATTTATTGGATGTGATACATGTACGGGAGAAGCATTTGTATGGTCGGAGGAACCAAGTAACGCAAAGACGGCAGACGACAACGCATCGGCACAGCAGATAATTAACGATAAGAACTCAAAGTTGGAACTGGAAGGCGTGAGGGCGAAGAGAAGGAAAGAAGTAAGGAAAAGGAATTGAGAAACTAGAAAGATTGAAACACAGAAAGAGAAAGAAAAAAAAAAAGGAGCCTTCCGTCCGCCTCACCATTTCCATTCGGTTCAATATCACTCTCAACAGAACCATCCATTGGAACTGACATTCTTCTATGTCCTCTCGAATCTTCACCTTCCATCGAATCCAATCCAGTCCAGCTATCCTCCCTCTCTCCGCGTACCTCCTTCATCCAACTTGCCCCTTCCTCCATCTAACTTCCCCCTTCCCCCTTCCCCCGTGCCTTCCCCCGTGCCTTCCCCCTTCCAACCTCCAATCTCCAACCCCCCCTCTCCATGTCTCTTCCCTTTTGACCTTACGAATCTTCTTCACACCTCATCTCATCTCCTCACCGCCATCACCCCCAAATCCTCATTCTCCCCTCTCAACACTTCCATATCTTCTTTCATCTGATCAATCATCCCCCGAATACTCGCAATCTCGCGCTCCAGACGCTTGATGTAGTCGGCTTTTCGTTGGCGGTGGGAGGACTGGGCGCGGCGGACTTGCAGGCGGCGGCGGGTGTGGTGCGTGGGCTTTTGGTGGTGAGGACCTGTAGAGGTAGAAGTATCTGGAGAGGTATCCGAGGTAGGAGTAGAGGTAGGAGTAGAGTTGCCTGGAGAGGAAAAGGTAGTGGTGGTAGAGGTAGAGGAAGAAGTAGAGGGAGAAGTACCTGTAGAGGTAGAAGTATCGGTGTGCATATGGTCCGTATCTCTATTGGACATCAATGGCGAAGGGGAATCAAGTTGGTGGGTGGTTTGAGGGTTTAAAGGGTCGTGGTGTTGAAGTTGAAGTAGGTCTGGGGGCGTGACTGCTTGTGAAAGAGAGAGGGAGGTTGAGGTTTTGCTGTTGTTGTTGATGTCGTTGTTGAAGTTGCTGTTGCTGTTGCTGTTGGTGGTGGAGAAGGAAGATGAAGAAGAGGATGGCTGTGATATCATGATCATTGTAGATGATGGTTTGGTGGGTTCATGTTGTTGAGTTGTTGCTGTGGATTGTCCCTTGGTTGAGCAGGAAGATGGGAAAGAAGAGGAGGAGGGCAAGGAAGAAGAGGAAGAAGAAGAGGATGAGGAGACGTAAGAATACATCTGATTCAAGGGTCTTTGTGATATCGAATTGTGCTACTAATGTCAGCAAGCAAAGGCCGAGCTTGAACGGGTGTAAGTCAACGGGGCTTGTGCTGGTAGAGATATCGGCTGTGGGTGATAAAGATGGTAAGAGGCCCGGAGTATGTGTGCTTTAATTCCAGGCCCGACAGACAGACACATACCTCTACACATATATCATCCAAATCATCATCATCACCATCGGACATGTCCCCTCCGAGATCAACTCTCAACGAAAAGAATCTCGACGGAAACGGAACGCTCCGCATGAAATCAACCCAAACATATGGTGTGCAGCCATCAACACCAACATCAAGTCTCCGAGTGTCACTCCAAAGTTTCTCGCATCTCTGTCATTTCCCCGTTTCTATCATGGACGCATTAAAACCACCAGTTCAGTGCCAGAGAGCGACAAGACGGGATGATGAATTCCCGTCTACTCCAGATTCACTGACACTCGACAGCCTGACCACCACACTGCACCAAACCAACAAGAAACTCAAATCATCCCGTTAACTCAAATACCTTATTACATTGACCAGGATCGTACCATCCCATTCCATGTCTCCAATATAAGGAACTTACCTCATCCAGCGTAGCAGTAGTAGTAGTAAGTAGCTACCCGCCTTTCCCGTCATTTCCAGCCCTGTCGCTCGATATGTCATCCTTTCATTCATCCATCCATGCGTATCCATCCGTGTCCGTCAAATTGCCTATCCATAACTCAAAGCGGATAGAAATCGGATGATAGAAGACGACTGGAATAGAGAAGAAAAAAAAAGAGGAACCTTGATGGCCTATGACCGCTGGCCCGGGGGAAGGGGGGGATTGGCAGATCCATCCAACCATTCATCGACCCATCCATCCATCCATCCATCCATCCCCAGGCACCCAAAAGTTCCTCGCTTGGTGCTGCAATGCACATGGTGACAAATACCTATTTTTTTTTGTGGGTTAGGGGGGATGCAACGCTGCATGCCCGCACATGTCCATTCACCACAGCAGTGCCCCCAGCCCCGGTGCCCCCGGTCAAGGCAACGCCTCATCGATCGAAGAGAAGTGGAAGGTAGCACAAGGCAAGCCTAGCAAAGTGATGAGTAAGGCTTTGACACTGCTTCATACTTCACGCTTGACACTTCCGTGAGGACTACCGTGAGCATTACCGGGCGGGCACTGCCGGCTGATGACATGGATTGATATTTTGCTTTTTTTCTTCTCCATTTCGTCGCTAGTTCAGAGAGATTGATAGCTCCTTGTTCGAATGGTACTCCTCACCATGAGTGCTGATTCATCCTCCGCTTACATGTTCCCTATGTAGAGGTACCGATGGCTCAGTGTTGTCTGCCTTCACGGACAGCATACTTAGCATACCTAGCATAGCATATCATGGACAGCCAATGACAACTGGAACCGAAAGTAGGTAATTCGCCCATCCATCTATGGTATATCCTCCTCACATCCTAGGTACCCATTCCATTCCATTCCATATCGTCCATCACTGTTCCTTCGAACCATTCCTTGCCTTGTAGTCCCAACCAAAGAAAAAAAAACAATTTTTAAGTTCCAACCCGTTCCCTTCCCTTTTCCTTTCCCTTTCCCCTCCAAAACGCCAAAAGTGAGTGACGAAGGTTGATGCGCTTTCCCACCGCCGCCGCCTATTCGCCATGCAGATAGAGAAACAGATATGAAACCCTACCAAGAAGGAAAAAAAACCAATAAACAAAGAAATAATGACCTTCCTCCTGAACCACTTCACCACTTCAACCACTCTCGTGGTGTGCAACCCCTTCTTAGATCCGCCTAAAGCTCCCATGGTACCCATCATCTCTCTCCTCATCCGTACTCTCATCATCATGCTCCACGCCCCCAGCCTCAACCTCCTCATCACTCTCATAATCCGACGCATCCCCAATCTCGCCCATGCCATCCTCACTCACATCATCGTCATCCTCGTCGTCACTATCACTATCATCGTCACCACCCTTTTCTAGCATAGCAATGCTCCTCCACTCAACGTAATTCTTGTCCAAGTCCAACCACCTCTTGGCGACCGGTAGCTGGAACGGATCAAAGGGGAAGCACGCCTCGATGTGCGTCCAATTCTCGTGATCGAATTCGAAACCGGAGTCGCGAAGGGCGCCGCCGGTGGCGTACGAAGATGTAAAGAACTGCGAGAGGTGGATGGTCTTGTTCTTTTCGATTTGGGGGTAGATGTAGATCAACCGGAGGTGGTGCGAGAGGCGGGCAAATTCGTCGACGATTATTGGGGAGCAGCATTTTAGGGGCTGTTGTTACGTTTATTGTCAGTAAACGTGAAACCCAAGACCAATAGCGGGTGGTGGATGGCTTACATTAAGCTTGCTGGCGATATTCACCTGCAACCGCTGCCTCAAACCCTTCATCCACGGCAAGTCCTGACCCAAGAAGCTGGCCGGGTCGTCCCAGTCAAAGCTCGCGGGGACCTCGTCCCGATCAATCAGATCCCGCCAGCGGAAGCAGAAGATGTACAGCAACCCCTGAAAGTACGCATAATACTGACCATAGCGCCGTATGTCCGGTCCGCGGCAGCTGGTGTGGGTGTTTCTGTAGTGATCGATGTAGTCGAGGAAGGTCTGCGCAATCAGCTGCACCTGGTCGCTCTGCACGCGAGCTCCTCGTGCCGTGAAGGATGCCAGGTAGGCGACGGCCGCTTGCTTGACTACGGGCGCCCGGGTAGACTGGAAGGCGATGTTGAAGAGAGTGCCGATAAACATTTCCATTAGCCGGTTGGACTTCATGGCGAACTTGAAGAGGAGGTATTGTGTATGACGCGATTTAAGGTGAGGGAGGATGACGTTCACAAAGTCTGTTAATAGATCCTCAAAGGTGGCTAGTGCCTCCGGGCTATCGGGGTCAGCAAAGACGGGATCGTAGATGGAAAAGAGCAGGTCGAGAATGGCGTCCATCGTTTCCAGCTTGCTCTTCAGCAGGAGAATTCGCCTTGTTTGCTCGTCACTTTCCTCCTCGTCTTCGTCGTCCGAATCGGCGTCGCTCATGGCATCGTCATCCTCATCATCGCTCTTAGCGTTCGAAGCTTCGAGTTGCCGTAGAACCGCCCGTGTGGTCTCGTCGTCGTCGTTCTCCAGATCCAGTGTCATTTCGACGTCCAGCTTCACCAGTCGCGAGAGGATCAGTTCCATTATGTCCCGTTCCAAGTCCAGCTTGTCCACCTTCAGCCTGAGCAAGTGATCGATGTATTCCATGTGTCTCGTCTTCGATTCTTCGGTATGTGGGAAGTTGTGGGTAACGATATCGAGGATCATCGGTCGTGCATCGGCGTAGAGCTCGAGGAGATATTTCAGACCGAGATGTAGCCGCTCTTTCTTGGTCTCGCTATCGACGGGCGGAAACCCCGGTACGACTTCGACGGTGGAGGATCGTGTCTCGGTAAATTTGTCGACCATCATCGAGAGTGCCTGTTGCCTGAAATACACCTTTGCAGACAAGGCTGCCAGTAGCTGAATGTACGCTCGTGCAAAAACATCGTCCCTGTCCAGCCACGTGCAATTGAGCACCGCCCGTATGAGTCCCGAACACGATCTGTCCAGCAATGGCGCATGGCTGGTCAAGGCAACGACGTAAACCTGGAGGTCTTGTGGTTGTGGTGCATCGGCATCTTCCTCTTCGACAATTGTTCGCTTTGGGCTCGGGCAAAAGATTTCCTTCAGGCCATCGTAGTCTTCATCGTCTCCGCGGGCATGACCCTCAAGGGCCTGCTTGACCTCGCGCTTTGCGTCGTCCAACGTCTTGCCACCGAATTCCTTGATCATGTTGAGCTTGTCGTTGAACATGACGGTTTTCCTCTTCTTGGCGGGGCTGCTGCCTGGGAGGCCGTCGCTACTCTCACCGTCCTCTTCCCTGGACCTTCTCCCGAGCACGGTGGTCGGCTTTCGTAGGATGGACTTGATGGCGGATGAAGTGAGCGGGGTTGCCTGCGATCGGGTTGCGACCGGAGTGAGAGTCGTCATGGTCGAGGATGGGGGTGGGCGGAGAATATTCGCCGTCTACCGGGGGGTTGGACTATTATCTGGTGATTATTTTGTCGATAGGAAGTGGATCCCTGGGAATCGATTTGGCCGGCAGAAAAAAAAGACGATGATTATGACTAGCGTGGTAGTGTGGTGGAAATAGCAAAGGTACGCAGTACTCGGTCTGTCGTTCAGGTTCTCGATATGCACACGTCTTGACTGCCCAGTGGCGGACAGGTGATGGCACAGTGATCAAAGGGTGTCTCGGCTCCCGTCGCAGATTTGACCGAACAACAATGGCATAATTGTCGAGTTTGAGATTACAAGCGAATGAGAAGCGAGAGACAAGGTACGGGAGTGTCCTTGGGCCAGTGTGGTATTCCGCTCCGGTCTGGTCTTTGCTTCGTCGCTGGCCGCAAGGTTACGGCTTGAAAAGAGTTTGTTTACGCTATGATGGATGAAAAAGACGACAAATCAATTGCAACTGGGCAACTTGAATGTTTTTTTTCTGATCTGTTAGTGAGCGGGAAGCCTCCATTTGGCCCCCACAGGATGGCACGTGCCCACCAGTTTATGTGGGCCCGTGTCCGACAGATTCGGAAGGCGGTCAACTTCTCGGTTTCGGTGAGTGACGCTTGATTACATAACCACCATCATCAAGTTCAACCTCTCAAGTCCCCAAATTCCCCATGTCATTCCGTATCATACGCATCGTGACATGGGCCAGAGGAAATACCCGACGTTCAACAGACATTATCATGAAAAGTCACAACGTTATACCAATAACCTGTCCATTTTCGAGTCGAGTCCTAATTTAATTGCTATATGTTGTCATGTCCTACCTTTTCGGTCAAAGCCACAGAGACGCAAGAGCATCAACCCCAGCTCTCTGACCAAGAACGGAAACACTACAGTCCAATACTGTATTGCTTATATGCGTGGCGCTCCTGGCATACTGGACGATATTCATCCCAAACTGTTGTCCCAAACCCCACAAGGATAAGCTGAATGGCCAAGTAGGGATTGAAAAGAAATTAACAAGAGTCTACATGACATATTGAACTTCTGGTAATACACACTCAAAAGTAGGATTGCCCTCTAGTCATGGAACTAAACAAATCAATCAGATACAAGAGCAACATTTAAACCAGTAGAATTGGACTGTATTCATAATCACTCTTTGCGCCAGCTAGCCGACTAAATACCAATTTTGATGGCCGCTCCTATATCTTTGAAGACCAAACAATATCCACCCCAGAAAAAAAGAAAGGTAATAAAACATGGCAACGTAAGAGGCTGCTCCTTCTTGTCTTTGTGGGTCAACAAGCAACAGCCCCATGCTTATACACACATCAGAGACTCCATAACGGTGAGTATGGTATTCGTAATCCTTCCCCGGTGACAGTCGCATGTGCAGCCTTTCTTGCAACGCACCGACTTCTCCTGAAGACGTTGGTTCATTCGCAACCGGATCATCGAACGTACCAAGAGGGCACGACGTCTTCTGGACCCGGTTTGAATTGACCCTATCAGCCACAAGCTGATGGGATGCCTGCTTGGGGCCAACAACCAGAGGGTCCGAAAGTACTGCCTGTGCTTCTGGGGCTTGCAGAACTGCTGGATCGTAGGGGGATTCATTCTTGCCGATAAACGCCATGGTCCGCTGGCTCTTAGTACCCTTCAGCACCGCCACCGTTGTGTCCAGTCTGGGCGCCATAGAGGTTGTAGCCTGAAGCATCGCCACTTTCTTGCTGGCCACCGAGATCGTTGCTGGAAAACCCGCCTTGTCCAGGTTGGTTCTGTCCCTGAGGCGCGCCGTAGCCTTGGCTGCTGGGTCGGTTTTGCTGGTTCTCGCTACGATTTGTCTGATTCTGCTGCTGCTGGAGTTAGCCGGATTTTCATGTTTTCCCATCCCGTCAAGACCGCCATTGTCATGTCTCGGTGTCATATCGGGCGGAACACCACGAGACAGCAATAACATCGCTAGTACAAAAGGAGCCTCACGGAAAAGGGACTTGTGGAACGGAGACTTACTTCTCTATACTTGGAAAGATAAATCTTGAGAGCTTCGGCATAATTCTCGAATCCCAGGGACGTCATTGCGAACAAGATGTCCTCGCCGTTTACCGTCTTGCGCTTTTCTTGCTGGCATTTTTCCGAAGCTGTGATAGGTCAGATTCAACTTGTTCCTCTGACTGGATGACTTTTGACACTGGGAGGAAGATTGGCTGTCCTTGTACGTACCTTCGCTGGTGATAAACGAGATGAACTCGCTCACGCACTCTTGCATGCACTCCTTTGCCTCTTTGGCTATCTTTGCATTTTCGGGAAGCGCATTCTTCATAATGCGAGCGACTGGGGCAAAGTTGCGTATGTTAGCATCATAAGCATCACATCGATCGGCTTTGGAAGACGAGGAAGAAGCGCGCGGCGCTTCGGGCGACTTGGACGACGAATGGTGAGACATGGAAGTGTAGAGAGTATGCGCAGCGCTTGTTCTGGAAGTGCTCTCAAGCCCAAAGCAGTAGCGGAAGCAGCAAGACAGAAGCGAAGCCAGTCGGAGACGGTCTCGGGTCTGCTTCTCGTCGCCAAACCCCCAGCCATGAATGGACATGGTGCCATGCAAGCGCAAGCGGGCGTGCTGCCCTGCTCTCTGTCTGGCCACGGCTAGAGCACACACAGACACACACACACATCCTCACACACGCTCCCACGAGGGAGGCGGGCGCACACACGAATCATGGTCTGTGACTGTCCACAAGGACCAAGAGACACAAAGAGGCTCAAGGGCCCGCCGGCACCGAGGCAGAGGCCAGAGGCAGATAGGGACGGATAGAGGTAGGTAGGTCAAGAAGGGCACGAAGGCAACGAGGTGTGTAACATACCATTGGCTATGGGCAACCACCGGTCCTGTTCCTTGACTTCGAACTCATACTGGTTGAGCCCGCTCGAGTGTGGGTCCTGAGGGTCGTTCATTTGTGGTTCCTCGCCGGGTGACGGTGCACCTTGTTCGACATCCTTTGAATTGGATTGGGGGGAGTCGGACATATTTGGCTACCTGCAGCGGCTGCTCACGTCTTTCTAAATTCCTTGGACTGCCAGCTTGCACAGACTGGATTAAGGTAGATGATGTGTCGTTGGACACGTTGCAAGGGTGTTAGGTAAGGCTTGAGGCCACTTTTTTTCTTCGGGGGCGGCTCGGCCTGCAGGCGACTGCGTCAATCGTCCCCCCTGTTTTTCGCGTGTCCAGGGATCCTTCAGGCTGTGATGGGGGGGCCGGGGCTGGGCACAATGGGACTTGATGGGGTACCTTGGGGTGGACTGGTGGCGATGAGAAGAAGGAGGGACGGGAGAAGCCCGAGACAGGATATGGCAGCCCGAACCCGAAGCAAAGGAACGCTCCGACCTTTACTGGTCTGATGTCTCTTTGTAGCGGCACGCTCGGTACCTGTAGCGATAGGTAGCGAAGAGTGAGGGGGCTGTTCCGGGGTGTGGATGGGGTGGCCCGACAAGACTGGTGACTGGACGGGGCACTGCGGGTCCTACCCAAGGGTACAGGGTGGTGTCTCTAGCGCGGAGACTGTCTGCTGCCTCTGGGGCTCTGGAACCTTGCCGGCGCCGGCGCCCGCTGGATATTGTAGATCGCCTTGCTGCAGGCAGGACTGGTGCGGTCGTAAACAGGATGACCAACGGTCACCACCAAGATCTGTGGGTGTATGTATGTACCGCGGTAGGTAGACTGACCCTGCCGCAAGTATATTTCCGTGTCCCTGGATTCAACGTTTCGTCAAGTCCGTTCTCTTGCTGCTGCCGATGGCCTCCTGATGTTGTGTGTCTCTGTGTACACACGGGTCGCTGTTACACCACACGGCGATGGGCTGGCGATGGTTGGTTTCTTTTGGCTCTACTGTCCGGGCCAGCGCAGGGCAGAGCAACGCGTTTTGTTTCTTTGAACTCGCGGTAGGGGTACGTAGAGACAAGTAGTGTAGATTGTACTGTGTATCGTCGATGATGATGACGATGCTGCTGCTGTCTGCCTGGTCTTCGCCTCGTGGAAAAGGTAACCTGCAAAAGTCGCGTCAGAAGAGCAGATCCAGTCATGTCGAGAACCAATACTTGGCCGGACGTGGGACTACGACGGTGGATTGGACTGGGATGGGTTTGGGGACAGCTGGAGACAAGACGGAGCACGAGGTGGCTTGATGGAGACGAATGACTGTGTGGAAATGTCCAGGAGAAGCTACCAGGGCCGGGAAGGCTGGGATGGGCGTCTGAGGTCGATGTCCCCTTCCTTCCATCACTTGGACTGCCGCGTTCCTGCGGGGCCAGCAATAGCAGCAGCAAGCAGCAAGCAGCACCTCACAGCAACTCATGGCGCTCACGCAAAAGACGGGATGACTGTAGTGTAGTGTGCTTGTGTGCTTGTGTGGTGTGTGGTGGTGATGTGCGCAACGATGCAGTGCGCGCATGGCAGCATGGCCGAAGCACTCAACAAAGCAGTCTGACTCCTTCACGAGACTCCATCGTCTCTGGGGTGTGGTTTCTCACGATGTATGTGTACGTACCGGTAGTAGTAGTAGTATCAATACGATGCTTGGATGAGTAGAGATGAGTGGTCTGTATGGCCCCGTCGCTTCACGCAAGCTTCGCGTAGAGTACAAAAACGGGTTTCTGCTTTGCCCTGGTCGGGGGTGTCGGACGGCGTGTGTATCCACGTCGAAGAGGAGTGGGTGTGTTTGACTGGGGCGCGTCAACGGTTGGTAGGGTACCTCTTGGGTTAGGGCGTCGAGATAATCCTGCTAGGAAGGGGAGGTGGAAGATGGATGCCGAATCTCCCTACTAGTGGATAATCCAGGTATGTAGGTATGGTAGGTGTCTGAGTTGGCCGGTATGGATGGATGATGGATGTGTGAATGTCAAGTCAGGTCTGGCTGCTGTCGTTGTCGTTGTCCCCGTTCCCTTCCGTGTCTGAGATGCATGGCCGGGAAACACAAATCCAAGACAAAGCCGCTCGACTCGTGGGGTTGTTAGGTTCTCTTGCTTGTCGTGACAGTCCAGTGTCAGCTCGTTGACAGCTACCTCTACCTAGCTAACTCTTCTTGGTCTCTAGGTACCCAAAACAGCCGACTGCACTAACAATTTACTAAAAGAAGGAAATCGGGGAAGAGACGAGCATGCGGGAGAAGCGGGTCTCAACCAAAATCATACGCCGCAATTCATCCCGGATAGGCATAGCTGCGTTGTAAATGTTCCGGCGGGTGAGCGACCATCCCGGCTTCGCCAGCACAACGTCGGATTTTACGTACAGTATGTAGCAGAACAACAATGACACCAACGACAACAGACCTTACTCTCACTCTACATTGCTGATATATTGACAATGACACATAAAACACCCGAATCATACATTTGTAGTAATGTCTGTCTGGGCAATATTTATTTGCTGCCCTTCTTGTCGGCATCATACTGTCGATTTGACACCTCAATTTGACCACCAAAACTCCATGTCAATCCACCACCAGAATGGAGACTGACGCTTTCGTCGTTACAACTAAAAATCCAGACTCCAAAGAACCTGTTCCCCTCATCCGACCCCGGCGTCCTTGCTGTTACAACTGATCCTCTAGGTATCCGCCTTCCCCACCTCGGCCGATGGATATCATCAGCGCCCATGACGACTACATAGCCACCCGACTGCTAGACGTACTCCGCGCCCTCAACGAGACGTCAATATCTGATTGATATCCGTGGACCGACAAGAGCGGTGAAAGTACGTCATCCGTGACCTCCTCAGAGGGTTGCATGCTTGTTGCGAATATTATCTAGCAAGGGTAATGCACAAAGCAATAGTCACTTCTTACTTTTCCAACTGACCCAAGAAAACAAGGTCCAACAGTTGAATATCTCTTCATGATTCCAGATATGTATGATATCTTGGCGGAACAACAACCCCAGCTTCAGGGCGACGAATGCCTGGAAGGTGGGTGGAGACAGCCTCTGATTCGACAATGGCTGTGACATATCAACACCATCTTCAACCCAAACAACAGGCACGAGGAGGCTGAAGGAAACCCAGAAGCCCAATCGGTGCCCTGAAATCCAACAACGGCTTTTTTAGGCCGAAAGGGGCTGGGGATCTATTGTTTGGGGGTCCCAAGGAGATCCCAAAGGAGAGGAGTGTGTGATGACTGGCTGCCCTCTTCGTTATCACCATCTTCCTGTCACGATGTGCCCGCCCCTTCTTTCGTTTCCCACGATGCGGGTAACCATTCACAGCCATTCACTATTCCCCAAATACGAGTCTGGAAAAACCTCAAAGAGCACGCTCAGTGGTTGTCACAAAGCCAGTTCTTCGCCAATAATCGATTTTATCTGGGATTTCGACCATCTCATTGGGAGATATTCCGGAAAGTATTGCAGAAATCCCCTGTTGGCTCAACACGCTATCACGGTCACGGGTCTCCTCAATCGCAAAGTCCAAAAAAAAAAACAGTTGGGGTTGGCCAACAAAAACCCGCGTTTCATAATGTGCTGCTGTACGACAGGACCGTAACATATCACAAGCATTCAAGCTAAACGGCGGCTTACTTACTTACATTCAAGCCATTTAAAGCGGAGAAAATGACGCCTGCTTTCCGCCCGCCGACGGCAAGTCCGTCATAACCGTTCTTTGCATTTGTCCGTCCGTCCGCCCGTCATCTCAGACAATCTTGCACACGCAGTAGCTCATCACCAGTCTTTTGGCTTGCTTTGCGTTGCTTTGCTCGCTCGCGGGTTCCAGTCCAATCGAAGCCCAACCAACCAACCGCATGCGCTGGCTGGGCTTGGGACGAGGAAGGTTTCCGGCCTCCCGGTTGGGCACTGAGACGCGCCCCTTTGTCGCTAGGCTGCAGTGAGCCTCCTTGGGAATGCCATGCCAGGATGGACATGGGACAACTCATCAACCACACCACCACCACTACCACCACCACCACAACCATCATATTCAGGATTTTTAAGCACCCAAGAAGCACAAATATGTCGTGACAACTGTCAATCGTTTGTTTATGCCTTGCGTGTAAATATTGAAGTAGGATGATGACCTGAAAGCTCTTGGTTATTTCATTTTCGGAGAACTTTTCCACATCCTTTCGGTTCTGCTGCTGATGTCGGCCACCCCTTGACAACTATCAACATCGACATCCATGATATGATCCCAAGCACTGTCGATTTCGCGGTGCTGAAACAGAAAGTACCCTAACACGACGTCATCGCCTGTAGCTCGTTCTCGATCATTATCGCCTTCACATGCCGAACCTTCCTTGCCTTTGAACACGTCAACAGCCGACCATCCTTGGTGACATGGCATCGTCTATCCACTAAAACTTTTTTTTTTTTTCACTTCCTCTTCACACTGACAAATTCGTAATGGTGGTGGGGGGGGTATTGTATCCGTACACTATACCTGATGAAATCTCTCTCTCTCTATCTTCCTCCAGCGTCTCATGCCGTCCGTTTATCTCCTCATGACTGAACAACCTGGACGTTGTTCTTCTTCTGAATAGTTTGAAAAAATCAGTCAGTCAGTTGACCATTTCCTATATCCAGCTCAGGCACTTGCAATAGCCCAGAGAAAAAAAAAAAAAAAAAAAAAAAAAAAAAAAAAAAAAAAAGGAACACCACATTACCTTCCACTTATCCAGCTCCTCCTGCTTGTTCTGGTACTGCTTGACCAAGTCGTTCAGAACCTTCTTCAGTCCCTCGGCGTTGGTCTTCAAAGCGGGGATCACGTCCTCCACCGTCCTCTCCACCAAGACGCCATTGATCATGCGGAAGCACTTGCGGTCTGCCGGGAGAGGGTCCAAGGTTTCGAGGACGAGTCTATTTTCGGTGTCAGCTCAGTTCTTCAAGATCGGGGTTTCAAGGTCAGATCTTCCCAAGGTAAAGGTATGGATGGGGAGTTGACTGGGGAGCAGTAAGAGATATGACAAGGGCGGTGTGACATAGAAAGAATTATGAATACGAGGAAGCAAGAAGCAAGAGCAAGAAAAAATAGAAAGACACGGAAGAGGAAAGTGCTGTGAGAAGGAAAAAGAAAACATCAACCATCCATCCTTCATGCCGCAGTAAAGCGGTGTGATGACATGTATGAAATCCCACAACGAGAAGAAGATGAAGCAAGGGGTCAAAGCATAACCGATGAGTGAGGAGTTCACACCATCACCATCACCACCTTCTTCAAGTCGGCTGTGGCGGCTAAACAAAAAAGAGAACCTCAAGTCCCAAGACTGAACATCGAGATGCTTACTTATGCTCCTCGGCCTCCTGCTCAACATCACCAATCTTCTGGGCAATTTGTTGCAGAGTGTTCTTGTAAGTGGTGTACTGAAGCTGAAGGTCTGTTCGAAGGAAGCTGTCAGTCACCTCTACGTACATCTACGTACAATCGACAAGGATGCCCCTCTTCTTTGGACCCTTGGAAGGACAGGACATGAGAACACTGACCTTGCTGCTTCTTCGCAGCTGCTGGTTGTTGAGCCATCTTTGTTGTCTGAACTGGAAGCCGTCGCTACAGTCTCTTTCAGTGAAAAGTGAGAGGTCTGGTCGTTTTGTTCAAGTCGGATTGAAGACCGGGCAGGCAGTTCAAAGAAGTTGACAGTTGCTCTGGTGAGAAAGCTAGGCCAAAAATGTTAGTGCTCAGGAGGTCCAGTGCCCGTCGCTTGAAAGAACCGTTGGAGGGGCAATCAATCACAGGCCTCTTTCTTGGGCCCCCAAGTAAACTCTGGTTGGTCAAAGCTTCCAGGCACCTAAGTAGCTCCGAACGGTCCAGGCCTGCCGCCGCGGCCGCGCTTTTTTGGATTTGTCTTGTCTGTTTGATCTTCCCGAATTCCGTCTTGTCGCGAATCACAACCCGATCACCCCCAGATCACTTTTTTGGATTGCGACAACACCCGACGACATTGGTCTCAGTAGCTGTTCCTCCGTGACAGCATAAAAACTCAGTCAAGATGCATCCTCTTTTGCATACCAAGGACAATGCCGGTACGTTTTCTTTCTTTTTCCTCCTCTTCTAAACCTCTAACATCTTTCCTTCCCATGTCCCTCTTCCCGGGCATCATCCCACCAACCGACCCCTCTCATTCCCTTCCAACCGACGGTTGCTAACAACTCATCTTTCTGCCCGACTATAGCCTGCCACGACGTCATGGTCGCCTTCGAAGAATGCCACGCCCGCGGCTTCCTCTGGAAGTCCATGGGCATGTGCAACGAGCTCAAGGAGGAGCTGGCGGCCTGCCTGCGCGCAGAGCGATTCAAGACCCAGAAGATCAACCAGAGCAGCGTGGCGGACAAGAAGGCCATCATCCGACAAAAGTGGAAGGAGATTGATGAGAACTCCTAAACAACAAACATACAACGTTTTCCGCGACTGAGACCGAAGCCGAGAGTCCCGAGCCGAACGAGCGATCGATTCTATCAACCTAAGAAACCGAGAACGAGATCGTGACAATAGTTCGTTTCCTATTCTGATCGAAGCAACGCTATACCTCACCCTTTTTCTTCTTCTTCTCGAAGAACGATATGGAAAATTTATCGTAAGCGGGGGAAGCCTGGATAGAGGTGGAAAATAGACACGGCATGGGAGGAATACGATCAACCACACACATACAACACTATACGCGATCCGAGACAAACAGACAGACCAGGCCGCTCACATACACACACACATACACACAATGATACCCATCACCACATAAGGAGAGCATAAATAAGGGCGGCGCAACTACTTTGCATTTGGTTTATCCTGTAACATTTTGGCTTATATGCAGAAAAAAAAAGAATATCCCACTCCCCTCTTACAAGAGTTCCCTTTGCGCGTCCCAACCGTTCCAGGCCGTTTCGAGCAAAGAAAAAAAAAACGGGTTCCAGCAAGAGTCCCGGCCTCCTGATTATCCTCCTTAGAGAGTCTTGCGGAAAGCATCACCAAAGGTATACAGCCCAAAGGCAGCAATGGCGCTGAGCATCATGGGCACAGGCTTGCGGAGCTTGATGGCGCGGGGGAGGGAAGCGCCACCGAGGACGACGGAGGCGAGGAGGCCGAGCTCGACGCCGTAGGGTTGGTTGTTTTGGATGCGGTAGCCGCCGAGGCCGTCTGTTTTTGCGAAGGCCGTCCGTTAGCAACAGTTTCAGATTAAAGGTCGGATGGTAGGAGGAAGGTAGAGAGAGGCGTAGTAAAGACGGGTAGATCGGGAAGTTCAATTTGTTCGGTTGGGGCGCTGGCTGATTTCGGGAGGTAGGTAGATAGATAAATCGGATATGCTCAGAGGCAGTGTAGCATGTAGGTCGGTATCGCGATCCGGGATGATGGGACGAAACACATACAAAGAAGACCGACAGCGCAACCGGCAATAATGGAAGGCTTCGACTTGGTGCGGGCATAGCCGGCGATACCGCCGGTGACAGTGAGAGCAGAGAGGACGTAAGCGGGGAGTTCGAGGCCCTGTTTGAGTTTGATGCGATTGCAATTGTCAGCATGACACGAACAGCTCCAAGCATCCAAGCATTCCCGTTGTATGCCTCGGCCTCTCTCCAGCTTGCCATTGCCATGCCAATCGCTAGGTAGGGTAGATAGGTACAGGTAGTTCTAGTCAATTGAACGCAAGCTGGACCGTAGCTTCCCTCCCGTCTCTTGAGTTGATATCATCCGAACGGAAACTCACCATTGTGAATAGTATTATCGTCTGATTTTCCGTTGTTGTTGTAGTTGTTGTTGCTCGTTCAAAAAGATCATCGACAAGTTCCGTCGGAAACTTACCGAGCAGCAGCTACTAAGGTAAGTACTTAGCTGTACCACTAGCGCGCAATGTCCGCGACCAGTCCGCGCGCGCAACGGGATCTTGGGGGACTCCGGTCGGTTGCGATCGGCAGGCAAGCTCCGACAGACACCCGACTGCTTAACAGATTCGCTAATTGCTGATTGGGAGCTCGGGCCACTTTGTCACACTGCAACTTACGAAAGCTGAGCTCCGAACGAAGCAACGAAGCAACGAAGGTGGTTCGGGAAGAGCCGAGGATGACGTCTGATTTTGGCCCTAACCCTGAGTGAGTAATCACCCTAACCCTCACAATGGTCTGGATGACAGTGAAGAGAAGGCGATGAAGGAAAGCTCCGTCTTTTTTGGTCTCTTTGTAGGTAATCAAGACCTTGAGGTCATGGTAATCTGTTGTAGCTGGATATTTCTGAAATGTTATTCCAATGCTACGTTTGGCAAGATAATGGTGTATGGAGGTCATCAAGTGTTTGTTTCAACTGGTCGTCTAGAACTGTTCCTGAGATTGGACACTGTAATGTCTAGTGTAATCCATGAGCTGAAATGACGAGAAGTCAATAGAGATGTCGAGGAAGACTTTGTAAGTTCCTGAACACTATGCTTTTGTGTGTTGTTGTTTCGATGTTCTGGCAGACGTCAAGTTATAGTGGAGTGTCTGTCCTCCTCTTTGGGGGAGCTACCGCATGGTCAGGCGACTCACTTGATCAGTTACGAGATGACCGGGACTATGGAGATCGTTATGTAACGCTCAGTGTGTGGCCGGTCAGCCAAAAGTGCAGTTTACTACAGTACTATTTCTCCTAGGAACAGCACTCTTTTTTAGACGTTGAGGTCCGATCTGGTCCATGATTCGAAGACCAAAGTCGCAAGGCCATAGGGATGCATGCGGCTTTGCCCCGATCTCAGGGGTACAGGTTCTCTCTCTCTTCTAGTAGGCTTGATGATCCTTCAGATCCCCAAACAGCAACGGAACTTTCCTAAGAGGCCATGCCATTCATTGTTTGGCTGAAGTCTAGAATTCATGTATGTAACCCCAAAGTGCGAATCTAGAACTATGCCCGGTTCATGATCTACACTGCCCTTTGGCTTAGATCTTATGCATATCATCGGCGTTCGGAGAAACGCAGAAAAGGCACACAAGACTTAGCTTACGGCGAAGGGGCTCAAGCGTTCGGCGAAACTTCTCTGGTGTTATTAGAATGGTGAGATGGTGTGACCTTGGGCAGGGCAGTGGGAGTCTAGGCTTGGGGCAAGGGAGCTTGTGCGATGCTAAGCTTGTATCATGGAGTATGTACCGACGGTTCAAGGTAGGGCCAGACCTAGGGGACGGAAGGAGCATCGTGAATGTCACCGTAATCGGGTAGTTGAGAATGACATGGGGTGAAGACGGATTCTGAACCTTGGTGGTTTGAAAGATCTGCTAGTGAGTTGGGTGTCGAGGCTGATGATCGTTGGAATGATCTTAATAAACTGGTTTACCGGGGACCGACAACAGAGTTACTCCAGCGGTATGGGTAAACTTTACTCACGACCATGGTCCATGACAGTGCCTAGTCATTGTCTGTTCGGGGATACGGAAGTAGTTCCGCTGTGTCAAACTGTTTGTGCTGGAAGGTCATGATAGCCTGCCCCTTTTGTTAGTGTAACAGACCAGCTCGTGAGGGTATGTTGAGTCGGCAGCCGAACGTTCGTAGGAACAACATGATGTCTGACAGTGAATCATTGAGACCGTGAACGATGGTGGTGAAAGGGATCAAGGATTCATAGCAAGTGCTGAACCAGTTCGGATACGTGATCCCGGAGGAGAGATGCATCGTGGGAAAGGCCCCGTAAACGGGGGTGGCAGAGCGGAAGTGGAAGACGGCGTGGCGTGGCAGTGCAAGCCGTCCCCAACCACCAGAAGGAATCTTGAATTCTCGAATCCCGGGATCATAACTCAATAGAATATTTGTACATAATGGCCGTTGTTGATGCAGTCAGTGGCTTATGAAAACGGCATCGTCTGATGGGTTCACGAATGGTCGGCCATGGATTGGGTTCAACGGTTTGTCGGGACTTTTTGGCAGTGCGTATCAAAGTGACAAGTCAAGCGAATCGGGAGGGTTCAATATCAGCAGTGTGAAACTGAATGAAGGGAAGTGACTGGATGTTGAAGAGGTCTGTCAGGGCTTCGACTTCCATGCTTCTTTCCGTGCTGATGGGCTGCATATATGTATCATTGTGATGACGGGAAGGATGATGTAAAGTCGCAAGGCACAATCCGAGTTCCTGGATGAGTATCATGAAAGTGTGTGGGATGACGGTGAAATGTCTGTCAAGTGCCCGGCGACGATGATGTCGAGTTTGGTGGTTTGCAAAATGGTTCGCGCGGGGCAGTGCAAGATGCCTTGTTAAAGGTGGGGTCAGCAGCCGTTAAGGTTCGCTTCCCTTGGTCAAGAAAGTGGGGTATCTGGGGAATTCTCCCTACCAACCTAACCGGGAGTGTGGGAATGTTCTTCACTTCACTTTTTCTTTGCAACCACCAAATTCTCGTGACCTCCTTCTTCTGTGACTGGACACAGATCGGAGATAAACCTCATTTGGTCGCCTTGAATTGCTGCAATACAACCCAAGCGACCGCTCTAGTCGATTAACTCTGTTCAGCCTGCTGCTCTGCCCGAGTCTGCCCTTCTCGAACAATGTTGCTTCGCCTCATTCCACGATCCACTCACAGACTTCGACCATCACATCAAGTGGAACGCACCATGGATGTTGCGATACTGGTGAAACCGTGCCGACTTTGGGACGTCTACCACTGTCTCGGATCTTGACGGAATGGACTTGATCAAGGTTCGTTTTCTCACCGACCGGTATGCCTTCCTTTGGCCACGATGGTTATCACCATTGAGCCTTGGACCGTTTGGACCACTACTATGTACGTCCATGGCTGCAAGCAGAGCATATCGAGGGTGATCTCGACCAGGTGAAACCGTCGAACCAACTGCATCAAGCTGGCTGCATCTCCAGGCCAAATCAGGCAATATTTGACAGGGGCTTAAGGATACACAAGAACAACACACTCAACACCCACCACCGGGCTCTGGTTCGAGATGACATGAAGCCACGATGAGGCAGAACGAGCACTGCTCCCATGTGGCTGGGAGACCATGAGATGATCACAGAGTCAAGCAACTCCGCATGCCGGTTGAGGAATATCGAGAACATGACTTCATACCCGGGATACTGGTTTATTGGCTTATGCATCATATCCTTCCCCAACGGGTTGACACCGTCACTATCGACCCCAGGCAACCACGGCTACCTAGAATCAGGACTCCAATCATGGCCCGGCTACCTCTCCGCGAATATCATCAATTCACTTGACTGATGAAACCCGACCTAGACATAGAGACTATCGGCAACTGTCAAACCAAGGCAAACCCATATAATGATAACTAAAAGATTCCACAGTTCGACAGAGTTCACTGTGTAAAAACTTTGAGCTCACTGAGGTTGCGGATACACGGCTAGACCACCGAGCTGCGCTACCACACACTATCGCGAACCCCTGCTCACATCACCCAAATTCAAGCCTCTAAGCGCTCACGGCCACAGACCAGGCTCGAAAGCGCAGCTGTCTATGCGCCTTGCCCCCATCCACATCCACGCTGCACGAAGGAGAGACAGGGGTCCAGGCCGGTGTTGCTCAAGATTTGGTTCCTGTCGGGTACGCAAGACAACACCATCTTTTCCCCTTCTTCCCGTCCTTTCCAACAGTTCTCTACACTTTCTCCTTGGAATCGCCCCATATCCAGCTTCTATCACGCGTGGGAAAGGGAAGCCATCGCAAACATTTGATCGTCTGTCTCATTCAAAGTGGAGAAGCATCTATAACACGGCGACGATAATCCAGCCAAGACAATAACACCCTCACTCTCTCTTCAGAACCCCGCGCAACCGCGACACAACCGCAGCCGCAGCCGCAATCTCCTCCTCCTCCTCATCATCATCCTCTGAGGTTTGCCTACGCAGATAAACCATGATTGCCGCCTAATCGCCTACCAGGAAGATCGGGACCTGACCGCGCACTGCCCATTCGGCCAACACTTTCAGCATCATAACATCACTTCTTGATATTTACGCACCTCACACATAGGGAGCCACATTCTTAAGGGCCCCCACCCCTCCCCTCCTTCAACATGTCTTTGGGTCATACCTGTTACACGCCGTCTTCTCTGGCTGATAACGACTCTAACACGCCGGAGCGCAACCAACTATCACAAAGTAGCCATCTCGCACCAAATACCCTCAGAAACTCGGCGTCACCTGCCCTAAACAACACACAGACACCAGAAGAGTCTCTGGCAGCTTTCGGTAACCACCATCAGCAGATGTTTTTTGGCGACCACGACGACCAGTTCTATGGTATCAACTTTTCTTCCCTCACGGACGGCTCACCCTCCTTCCTTGATGACGACTTCCTCCAGATAGCCAACAGTAACCCCTTTGCGGACGACATTTCTTCCGAACCAGTCCAGAAGACACAAAACGCCTTTTTAAATGCCAGTCATCTCCCCATAAGTCCAGAAAAGACACCTTCATTACAGACCTCCCCAAACCCCGAAGCCGGCTCCAACCAAGCTACCTTTCCGAAACGTCCAGTTATTTCCGTCATTACCCAAGAGGTCACCCATAGGCCAAAACAGCCATCGCTATCCGACTCGCAGGACAGTAGCCAACCTGGGTACGAGTTGACATCGGAAGTTACCAATAGCGCGGAGCTGGGTGACGACGGCTCTGTACCCTCGATCAACGTCATGTCAGAGCAAAGTCCAAGGGTAACAGTCTCAGATTACGACACCATCAACTCGTACACCATCAACGGCGCTCAACACCATGCTCCACATCCTGGCATCAACGAAAATGATTTCGTCCATCAGACCCCTGACGACAATATGTCTC